ACTTCTCGATAGCCTCTGCAAAGGAACTCAAAGACACGAAGCTGTCGGCTGCATGCTCCTTGCACGCCGCCTCTGGCTCGACCTCGTCCTCGACGAGCTCTCTGCGACGGAGACGGTTGATGGAAATTGCCGAGGAAGAAGAGGAAGAACAGAGAGCAAGCAAGAGAAAGTCTGTCGGCGCTGATGGCTTGATCGAGGCTCCGGGGCTAACGGCAGCTGACGCTGCGAAATCACCTCCTGAAGTGCCGCCACTAACGCTCAACGCCGAACTCGCAAATTCGCCGGAGGAGAGCAAGTTTTCTACGTCTTTGGAGCCGCCAGAGTTTGTTGGGGCCAGACCGCCTTCTCCTTCAAAATCTTTGGACGAGGGACGGCGCATGTCATCGCAGTCCCTGAGACCTGAACTGTATTCTCCACTGCTTCATTCATACGGGAAGCCCAAAGTCAAGCTTGCCCCGCGACCGTCCCTCGACGTTTCTGCCCGTGCTCGCACAGGAACCGCTGCTGTGGGGGCTGATTTCCGTCCAATTTCCCAGATGCCTTCCGGGTTGAAGTTATTTTCCAAGGGTCCCAAAAAAGGAAAGCCCAAGGAGAATACTCTGGACCCTCCTTCCGAGCCAGCCCACTTGGACGAAACGACCGAAATCTCGGTGGCCGCCACTTCAATACCCCTACCCGACGGAGACTCCATCTCCCAGATTGATGAGACCGTTAGGCCACACACGAGCTCTGGCCGACCCACAACAAGCTCGGGCTCTTCAATTAAATCCACGATGCCGTCGCTCACCACCACCACCGCCGTCCCCACTAAACAAGTCATGACGCCCGAGAAGGCGCGTCTAATGAAGGCGATGAAACTGAGGGAGAAGAGAAAGATGAACCAGCAACCCTCCGGCACCCCAGCTGTTGATGTCCTTGCCGAGGAGTCAACCTCGGAAAAGGCCCAGACTCTCGAACATACTGAGGAGATAGCCGAGCCTGCCCTTGCTGCCGAGGTCGACGACAACAGCAGCGGCGAGAGACGACTCTCAGTATCAAAAGCAGACTCTGGCATTGTTGTTGACGTGTCCTCGGATTCCGTCCACACAGACGTCGCCTCTGAGTTTACTCAGAGCGACTCCCATCCCGCCTCGCCTATTATGGCATTCTCCGAGCCTGGTCACTCGACCAAGGCGTCGTCGCTATCCGATTCTACCGAAGAGACTCTGAAGGAACCTGATGAGGAGGACCTCATCGACCAGGTCAACGCACACGATGAACGAGAGGAGGTTGCACCTGCAACGGAACCCACGGTTTCCCCTGTTCCATCTGAGGAGGAGGTAGATACTCCTATTGCTGCTGCTCCCGAGCCAATGGAGCCATCGGTCGCTGGCAACGAAGCACAGGGGGGTGCCGAACCCCTCCCTGAAGTACCGGCAGACGCAGTCGATGAGGATTCCAATTCAAAATCCGATGCCAACCCCGACTCGGTCCCCGACTCGGTCCCCGAGGAGATTGTTCTCTTAGACGAGAAGCCGAACGAGCCCGAGACTCCAGATACCTCGACCGCTGAGAAGGATGAAATACACGAGGTCAAGCAGCCTGTGGAAGAAGGGAGTGAGACTGAGAAGGTAGCAGTCACGGATACACAACCAAAATCGCCCTCGAGCTTACCAGTTTCCAAGTTCTCCACGAGCCCACCACGGGCGACGACTCCCATCGAACCGAGAGAGACGCAAGATCAGGAACCGAAGAATGATGACGTGTTTCCGCCCGTGGTGCCGGCACCGTCGGAAGTATTATCTAGGTCGCCGCCATCATCACACTCCCCCGGCCTGAAAGTTCCCCGGTCCAAGTTCTCAACACAAGATCTCAAATCAGCTGCAAATAATGAGGTGCCTATCATCGCCTCTCCCCAGGGCGATGCACTCCACAACACCAATGCTCAGTCGGCGGGCTCGGAATACACAAAGAGGAAGGCGCATGTGGACCCCGTTCGAACTGATCTGGATGCTTCGGATAAGCGGGCAGAGGGCGGCATGTGCGACAACGAAGATTTGTTGGACGAGCTTCACTCAGCTACCGTTGAGCAAGCGCATCATGTTACTGTTTCCAAATCGCCCATCACGCCTGTCTTCCCTAGCCCCCCGCAGACCGTCAGCAGACCGACTTCGCGTGGCATTGTCCGCACCATCTCGAATCCCATCCGCGGAAACATTGTTACTCCAGCCGACGTGGCCCAGGCTCAGAACCAGAGATCAATCTCTTCGGGCGCTGCTTTCCTGCATAAAATCACGCAGCAGCAAGGCAGTCAGCATCTGGCCCCCAAACAGCCTGGCAAGATCGGTTCGAGTATCTCGCAGCGCATCAAGGCCCTGGAAAGGCTCTCCGCACACGCACCTGGAAGCGTTGATCCGGAACCGAGCAACTCGAAATCTCCGAGACCTTCCTCGGCATTCTACGCCGTCAAGAGGGGAGCCAGTGTAAGGGAGCCTTCCCGCCCCGTGTCAGCTGTCGATAAAGCGGGCTGTCTCACTGTGGGCGGCAGCCCTGTGCCATCAGCCTTAGCGGACTCTCAAGAATCTTCCCCAGAGACTGCCAAGGTGAACCGTGGCAGATCCGGATCGGTGGCTAACAGGCTGTCGATGTTCGAGATGCCCGGCAGCAACCCGTCACTCGGCCAGTCTGAGTCCATCTCCGTCACAGCGCGAATTATCCGCGATCCCAGCCAGGTCAGCAAGACGCCCGAACCGCCCAAGAACCCTTCCGAGTTCGAAAAGCTCGATCTCAAGTCGTCGCCGCTGGTCGTCGATCACCAGAAGGTTGAGCCTCCACTGCCACCAGCCAACCTGGCAACTGTGGAGCCTCCAACGGAGACGATCCAGGAGCGAAGGCTGTCCAAAGAGAAGCGTCGCTCTCAGTCCATGGAGCCAACGTCTGATGGAGGCAAACTGCCTCGCCGGTCATCCCTCAGTATCATGAGGGACTTCATCAAGGATCGAGGCAAGTCCCTCAATTCACCAGCTGAGCCCCTGACCGCTCCTTTGCCCATATCTTCCGGTTCGAGACCGTCCTCGAGGCCGTCCTCGAGGCCGTCCTCGAGACCACCTTCAACTCCCCACACCTCTGGCCCCAGTCGTCGCCCTTCCATCAGCAGCCGTCGCTCGTCTTCGAATGGCAAGGACAATGATGTGAGCAGAGCCGTGTCCCCATCCGTGCTCACCGAGGGCAGTGGGTCTGGCGATGATAACAAGTCGACAACGAGCGACAAGAAAATGGGCCGTGCAGGTCGCTTCATGCGCCGCCTATCCTCGTCCCTCAGCAACGTGGGTCGAGGTAAGGCCCTGAACCCCACTGCTATCTCTCCGACAGTTCAAGAGGAGGATGCCTTCGAAGTCGCTCGCCTCCAGCAACCCACTATCGAGGCATTCATGGGAGACGTCAATGTCCAGTTTCCAGACAACCTGCTATGGAAACGCCGCAGCATGTGTCTGGACTCTCAGGGCTTTTTGATTCTGAGCACAATTGCCTCTTCGACCGCTTCCAAGGACAAGCAGCCTCGTGGGGCTGGAGTCAAGCGGTACCATCTTTCTGACTTCCGGATGCCCTATATTCCTGACATGGAGATACAGGAGCTGCCCAACAGCATCTGTCTCGACTTGGTTGAGGGCTCTGGCTTGCAAGTTGCGTGCGAGGATCGCGCCGGACAGAGGAATGTATTACAGAGTAAGTTATGTTTGGCCTCATACTGTTGAGTACAGCTAACACCTATCCAGTTCTTCAAGCGGCGCATCAAACCCACAGCTCGCCCAGTCATTAAGATCATCACCTCATCATGACCCTGGGATTCTCCAGTCTTTTCTATTATACCCAAACTTTCGAACACTTCCCAAAACACCAACACTTGCCGGCAAATCCGTCCCGTCTTTTTTTCTTCTTCTTCTTTTCTTTGTCATTGTCCCTTCTGGCCATCAGTCCCAATTATATTCGGAGGCTACTTCGCACGGAAAATGGCTGTTGTTTTAGACAGTTCCGACATACACCACACTATCACCCACTTGCCTACCTATACCCGCACCACACGCCTTTTACAAACAGGCGATAATTCCATGGCCCAACGCCTTCTACGCACGCTCTAGTGCTTTCCTTATTTTTTGCACTTCCCTTCAGTCAGGAAATGATACCACCTTTGCATGGAGATAGTTTGGGTTGGAGAAGAAAAGGAGAAGGCAGACGATCTGGGTCCGGGGGAAGCCTGGACAAAAAGATGGTCCACCACTTCATACCACCTCGTCACTTTTTTTCCCCCTTATTCTTTTCAGAGAAGAACGAAAGGCTAGGGGTTTCATGTTCTTGTCGACAACCACGACGACAAGAAATGACCACGATCTCGAGTTGGCGCGTTCGATACCGCCTGTGTAGGAGAAACTATCAATGTACATACTACCTTACCACCATCTTGACGGGACAACGGCGAGAGAAAACTTTGGTTCTCAGATAGGCTTTATGTTACCTCTCTACCGAGGTGTTGAATGAGATGCTGATATCCATCCGCCTTTACAACTAGCACGTAATCACGAAGCCCAATGAAAGTGGGCAAAACGGAAGTCTCTTGGTGTATGGCTACGATCCATCCAGATTTTCCTGTTTGTGAGTATTGGCATCGTTTTCTCGTTCATACCGCAATTTTCGACCTTTCTACAACAAATCGTTTTCTTGGCCCGGCGAGCACAAGCCCTTTGTCCCTTGCTGCCGATTATTCTCTTTCCCAATACGCACAGGTTGTGTTTTCTTTTTCTCTTTCTTTTTCTTTTTCTTTTTCTTTCTTTTTGCGGCTCACTTCCCATTAAGGCCCTTCCCGTCGCCTGCCCCACGGCCGTTTCTCCCGCTCTTTTCCCGGGAACGCGATAGACGTCCTCCATCTGTTCACACTCGCTCATACAAACAGGTTGCCTCTGTGGGATGTTGGCTAGCCGTCTTCATTGGCTCCAGTATTCGGGAGGGGCACATACCATAGTACTTTTATCTTGACGAGTATTAGGTGGTCGGGATGGCATCCCAGCTGCGTTGAGGTATTGTACTTGGAAAGGGGAGGAGCTAAAGGGAAGGAGCTAGAGATGGCGGAGTTCGGAGGACTCAGTCCTGGCGGCCGCGGCGGCGAGCACGGCGGCCCATGGCGCGGCGCTCGTTGCGGTTGCGCGCTGTCGTCATGTCAGGATTCCGCTCGTAACCACGGGCGTCACCCGCGGGAACGCCGACGCCCTCGTTGTCGGATGCGCCGCGACCGCGGAGCCAGAGGCCCCAGCCGCCCTCGGGAACGAACTGGCCGCGGAGCATGGCGTCCGTCATGTCGTCGAGGGCGTCCCGCTGCGAGAAATCGCCGCCGTAGTACCAATAGACGCAGGGCGCCCAGCAGCAGCACAGGGAGGCGAGGAGCAGGGAGGCGGCGACGCCAGCGGCGACGCCCTTGAACCACTTGACGACGGCCGACTGCTCGTCGTAGGCCCAGGCCTTGAGAAACTCGGTGGTCTCGGTGGGCATTATCGCGCTGGTTGCGGTGGGGGTCGATAAGATGCTTGCGAGGGAAGTGGTGGTGGACGACCAAGGGCTGAGGCCGAGCCAGGGGACGAAAGGGTTCTGTAACGCCATTTTGGGGAGGTGGTTGTCGGCCAGGCAATGGAGGGGGTTTGATGACCTATGTTGAAGGAGAAAGTTAGTATCATAAGGGCTCGCGGAGGGGACGGCCCAGGGACGCGTGAATGGGTTTGATGTACGGGGGTGCTTGACCACAAGGCGACGAGGAAGCTGGTTGCCAACCTGTAACACGGAGTAGCTTGGAGATCAGCCCTTGAACCAAAGCTACTGGTAAGTCGTAGAAGGGAGAGTTAAGGGCCGCGAGAGGGGGGTCAGTGAATCTTGGGACTTACAGCCTCTTTCGGAAAGATCACGGTTTTCCCTGAGTGGAGCGGAGTTGAACTAAGGACTTTGATCTTTGATGACGAAGAAGTGAAGAGAAGGGGCGGGACTCAAAGACTGTGAGTAGGTATTTGGAACTCTCTATGTTCCTGGATGGAGTTTTCGTTGCTGTATAGAAAAGGGGGTTGGTCCGGAAGTAACTGGCAAGCACGACTTGGGATACAAAAAGGTAAGAACAACCTCTGACACCTTCCTGCACTTTCAGCCCTGTCTTTGGAGGAGAGATGACTCTTGATACACAATAATCATTTTCTTCAGGTCCAGAAACAACTGTTTGGCCTACAACAGATGCATGACCATCATCGGTACTTACTCCACAAACCGTTTGTTCTCCTCCAAAAACCCCACAATGGCCTCCCACGCGATCCCCCTCCTCATCCCCGTCTCGTCATCCCATGATGAGTGCAGGCCGACAAGCATCCCCGTCCGCCTCTCGAGCAACGGCGCGCCGCTGTGGCCCCAGTACGTCCAGCAGGTGTGCATCAGCGCTCCGATCTCCGAGTTGTCCTGCGGGTCCTGGCCCTCGGCGCAGCCCCTGAAGGTACCGGTGCTGAGGTGCAGCACGTCGTAGCCGATCTCGGTGCCGGGGTCCGCGGCCTCGAGGTCCTCGCTGCCCGGGTGGCCGACGCACACGAGGCGGGTTTGGAGGGGCGGGGGCGTGGGCGATGGAGTGACGAAGGGAAACGTCGCGGGTGGCGGTGGTGCTGTTGTGGATGGAAGGGGCGGCGTAGGTTGGGCGGCCACAACCCTCAAGAGAGCCAGGTCTCGTTTGTCGTCCCACGCCAGAGGCTCCGCCCCGACGGCCTGTCCCGAGGCGAAGAGGAGCCAGTGGGTTCTGGAGGAGTCGAAGTCGTCGGCCGTTTCAGCTACGCAGTGGGAGCAGGTGAGGAGGATGCCGCTGGGTGAGATGCAGACGGCCGTGCCGGCCTCCTCCTGGGCAAAGACCAGAGTTGCCATGATGAATTGGGCGAGCTTGTTGCGCTCCATGTCACGTGGAACGATCACGGGCGTCTCTGCAAGTAATCGGCGCTTCTTTAACAAGCGTTGGAGATCGGCCTTCCCCAGATCTTTTAGTTTGAGATTCAGCCCGAGTATCTCGGGAAGTTGCCTTATATTGTCGGCTTCATAAATGGTGCTACTATCTGCAGTCGTAACCCGGGTACTGTTGGCTTGAAATGATGTGGAAAGGGTCGTTGCCACTTTGGCAACTATTGCTCTTCGTCTCGTTCGCCTTGGTGAGACGACCCTTGGCTGGGATACGTTTTCCATGGTTTGCTAGTAATCAGCGAGAAGAAAGCTGGGGAGGCAGTTTGTGAGCGGAGTCTGTAGAAAACCACAATTCTAGAAGTTCTAGTTGAGCATTGAGTTGCAAAGCTGAAGGACGCTGGTGGTCGAAATATGGTGGTCAGGCTGCTGCCTAAATCTGACAGAGAATTGATCAATGCTAGACTTCACTCGCGGGGTGCCGGAGCGATACCCGGAACAGAAAGTCAGAAATGCACTCAAGGCATTTGTCATTAGTTTGTATCACCACCAGTCATACCTAAGTCGTCATCCAAGATCACTAGAGAGCGACCTGCTTCCCCACCCACTCGTCGACCAAGGTAGCGTAGTCCTCGGGGCCGTATGGTTCCAATGCCTCAGCGACCATACCATTCTTCCTGTACACCTTCAACCCCAAGTCGCCCACTAGTTGGTCTATATACGGAACAGCATCGAAAACGAAATCGGGAAACTTGTCACCATGCCCGGCGGGATACCGCCACTTGCCGAACCGGCTGTGCAGAGCAGTCTCGTAACGCAACTTCTGCAACGCCTTGGGGTCGACCGTTACCTCGCGGACACCAGGGATCTGGTCGTGGAAGTAGGCGTCGATCCAGAGCGACTGCACGTGGGCGACCATCGGCACGGAGAAGTTCATCAAGACGCCCGCAAAAGCGATATCACGCTGCGCGAGAAGCTTGGAGGACGGTGGCACTACGAAGCGATGAAGGGCGTAGGGCGTGAGAGTCGTGTACGGGTTGACGGACTCGGTGGTCGAGACGCCCTCATTTTCTACCAGAGGTTTCATGTTCTTGTTCTGGACGGGCTGGTCCTTGAGCCGTGGCCAGCGGTCAAAGATCTCCTGGTCGATGGCTTCGACCATCTCGGCTGGAGGGAAGCTCTCGGGCGAGGGCGCGTGGGGGATGCCGAGCTCCTTTTCGATGCCCTCTGGCAGGAACTTGATGGGCTGGAACTGCTTCCATCCGGTGGCGCAGCACAGGGCGTCTGACTGCAAAGACGATCCGTCCGAGAGATGTACCGTGCTCGGTGACAGCCTCACCAGGTCGGCAATGTGGACGTCGACCGTCCCATCACGGACGAGGTCGAAGAAGTCTGTTTCGTAATTAAGGATGGAGAAGCTGGACCCCGTGAAAATGGCCTCGCTCCACGGCTTGAGCTTCTTCAGCTCCGGGTGCGAGTCGAACTTGTTCAAGGTAATGACGTCGTTGCCGAGGACGCTCCAGAATTTGTTTGTGACGGCACGGCCGATGGCCGTGCCGTGGTAAAAGTTCCTCGTCTTGATGTACCCGTCGGCGTCGCCCCACGAGCAGGGGCTGAACCAGGTGAGGGCTCGGGTGTGGGCGAGCTTCTCGAGCCACTTGTTCAAGGGCGTGACGTATGGCGGGGCAATCCATATGGGCCCGTGTCCCGACTCTATATCTGATCAGCACCGGGTGCGACAAGTGCGCGTGGAGGTGTTTGGGTTACCTCTGATGACCCAGTGAACCTTGATACCCTTGGTGGCATACGCGTAGACGATGTCCCATGCCGACTTGGTGCCGCCGAAGACCGTCACCGCCTTGGCCGAGTCGAGGGTGTCGGCATGCCGGAGGAAGTCCTTCCCGTGGAATAGGGGGGCACCGAACGTGTCCTGGCCAGCAAAGTCGGGCAGGAAGGCCTCGGACGTGAGACCGGTTGCGACGACCAGCTTCTTGGCCAGTACGCGGGTCTCGCTGCCGTCCCTACCGTCGAGGAGGGTCAGGATCCAGCCGCCGTCGGGCTGCTGCTCTGCCGAAAGGAGCTTGTGGTTAAAGCGGATCTTGTCCAAGACGCCGAACGTCTTGGCGTACTCAGTCAAGTAATGGTGCAGAACCTGACCGGGAATGTGCTGTCCGGGCAAGACGCCGAAAGTCTCGGGGTCCATGGGGAAGTCGGGGTACTCGTAGGTGCCGAGCATGTTGTTGCTCCTCAGTCCCGGGTAGAGACGGTGCTTGGCCCACACGCCACCGGCGGACGAGGCTTGCTCGAAGAGAGCCATCAGCTTTGGGGGTGAAGCTGGTGGTGAGTCTTGGCCGCAGCCAGACCAAACCATCCTGGGACGGCGAGTCAGATCAGACCGCAGGCCTGGATGGTTATGTCCAAAGGGGGGGGGGGGGGGGGGGGTTGCCTCCTACCTGCTCCAATAACGACGAAGTGGAGAGTCTCCATTGCAACACGGCCAGACAATTCGGTGCATGGGTTTGGAAGAAAGCAGCGCCGGCGGTCTCGGGATATAGAAGAAATACGAATAATACCGCACTAAATCCAAGTTTCAAAAAGAACTTGAAAAACTTCCCTACATATAAAAAGGTGTATTATTGCATTCGCACGCCTTTCAAAGATTATTTAAAGCTGTATCTCTAGCTCTCAATTTTGTAGCTACACCTAAAACTTTTTTAACAGAATACCGCTCTAAAAACGTCAATATTTCTATTCATATCCACCCAATCTTTCTCTGACAGCAGCATACTTCTCTAAACACCTCAATATCACCTAATACTTTTCTAACAGCATTATACTGCTCTAAGAACCTCAGCATGCAGCTTTCGATCTACATGGTTTCTGCTGTATTAGCCGCTGTTGCTACGGCCAAACAATGCACAACCTCATTTGGAACAGGAGAGTGTAGTGGAGCAGGTTCTATTTGCCTTGCTACCAAACCTCAATTCAGTGAATCCTGCCCCAATGACATAGGATGCACAACCTCATCTGGATCAGGAGAGTGTGGGGCAGGTAAGATTTGCCTTGTTACCAAGGCTATGCCCAGTAATGACTGCCCGTAAACACTGTCTGGTGACAAGGGCGGTCGTGTGGGAACTAAAACCGACGGGGGAGCGGACAGTAGGAGAGTTGGAGCAGCAACCAAAAGAACGACTGAAGAATGGAATGTGGTCGGGACCAACGCAGCTGAGGCGGAAAGGAGAAAATATGGACAAGTCAAGCCTGGCTGCCACACGATGTGGTTAAAGCCATTGCTGCAGGATGGAAGAAACCGGAGGAGTTACGTCCGGGCCTGGCGTTGACCGGGCCATTATCTCTTCTATGCAGCCTGAGAATAGTTGAATGCTGCCTAGCGCTGAATACTTAGCTACGCCTACTGTAAAAGCGCATGCGGGCAACCCGGAGCTGATTCGTCAAAGTGACAGGGAATGTTGCGCAACCCTCACTCAACCTTGTCCCTCCTCCTTCAGCTCCGCTCAAACCCCCATCCCCATGGATGGTCGCCTACCGAGTTTGTAGTTTACCTAGTGTGCCTATTTAACAAATCACGCCACGACGGCAAACAGCGAGTGTTGGAGTAGGGGTTCGTTCCCCTGGGTCGTTACAATGGCGTCCGCACATCGCCGGGGTCGTTCCGCGGATGCTACTCCATACACGACTGTCTACGGAGTATGGTCGAAGTGTGGCATGATCGTCCACTTGTCACACTCAGTGCCCGAAGGGTTCATGTAGGTGCATGGGCAAGCGACATGTTTAATCATGAGCGGTTATCCCCCCCCCCTTTTCCCATATCCTGTCCGTCAGGCACCCGATAGAACCAACCGCATGTTGCTACTATCACCTGTTGAAGAGATGATCCTCGCTCGTTGATCCGCAGGGAGAGCTGTGGCATGCAATGCTCCCTGCGTACTGTGTACCTGTACAGTCACATAATTTGAAAACGACCGATTTTTAGGGATACTGCATACATATCTGTTAAGCAATCAAGTAAGCCCCAAATAGGAAATCAGCTTGGTTCCACCAGCCATTAACTGTCAACCCGTATTTAGGTATCTGGCACACCTTGTATCTCTGTCTTCATGACCAAGGCTTGGAGAAGCTTTCATAAGCTGAGGCTGACTAAGGAAAAAAAAAAAAAAACTGAGAAAAAACTACTACCTAAACTGCACACCTCATGTTTGTTGCCCGGGAGCGGAGAGCATCTCCGAATCGAAGCATTTGCCCCGACCAGACGACCGAGTTCTTGGCACCAATTTCTCTAACTCCACCCGCCTTCCGTCTTACGTACTTACATGCAGGGGAGCATCCAGCTCGGCGACGTCCCGGAAGGGAGCGCCGGCGGTAATAATAATAAGAAGGGCCGTCTGCCGTACAGCCAATTTCCCATCACCGAGTTCACCCTGTCCGGAAGCGAGTGGTACCTCCACAATTTGGCGCCTCCGCCTGGGTTCCGGTCGCGGAGTCGGCGAGGGGTGCCGGGGGTGCGGAGACGGGGAAGGGGAGATGCTTACGACAGGACGCCGAGTATAACGACAGCGAGAGTTATGGGAGGGGTGTAAAGTATGCTTTCGGAGGGGGGGGAACAAGGCATGGGGGGTTCTACATCTGATCTCGCAAGACTGGACGGTTTCCACGCAGCTTGATGCCCGGCCCTTGAGCCAATGATACCAGTTCCGTACACGTCTACATAGATTCTAAGAGAACCACGAATCAACTTGAATCAAGTCACGGGCACCTGAAAACCACTGCATTTCTTGAAATGGAGGCTGACTGATACCATCTCGGCTGCGGAGACCCCGAAGAGGCTTACGGCGATATACGTCGTTTGGCTGCTTCATGCGCCTTTTTCAGCCGCTCTCCCTGGTACAGTTTAGGCTTCACGAGCTCAAGACACATTTCCACCAAGTTTGCTTGAGTCTGCTCATATAACACTTAATTTTTGTTTCGGAGGAAGGTTTCCCTTTTTTCCCCTTTTCTTTTTCATGCGAGGTCGTAATCAGATAATGCAGGTCCTTCATTAACTCCCCACCCTCGAATCATGGGTTATCCCATCACTTCCCACCCACAGCCGAATCAAGAATCAACGTAGCCGCCGCTGGTCCCGGGGTCCTAAACCCCCTATGGTAGGCCCGGAAGTACCTGTCCAACCTCCGCTTCGCCGCGAGCGGTTCCCGATGGACACGCAGACGCACTCGCAGCTGGGACACCGCGGGCGATGAGGCCCGCCGAGGGCGACGTGTGGGTCCTCGGGCGCACCGACCCTGGCCCGCAGGTCCGGGCCCGTCGCTTGGCGGCCGAGACGGAATCCGGGCGGTAGGACGACGCAAGATGGGGGCGACGGCGTCGGGAGCGGCAGAGCGGTTGGGGGCTCGCCCGGGATGCCCGGCGATGGGGACGTCGAGAGAGGACGCAGGGCCGAGATGTATCTCGGCGTTTCGAGTCGGCGGGAACGCGGTTCCAAGGGAGAGACCATGCCGTCGTGGGAGTACGACCTCGACGCGAGAGACTCCGAGGGTGGTGCGGGAGAAGAACAAGATGTCTGCGATCCTTCCCTTGTTGACAGGCTGGGAGATGTGAATAGCGTGCTGGGACCGCGCTCGATGCTGGGGATGATGTCGGGAAACATGTTCCGACCTGGGCCTGGCTGTCGTGTGTCCCTTCTATGGGCCGGGAGATGGCACGGGCGGTGGGAGCAAGCCGGGTCCTCTCGATACGAGGCGCCGGAAGGCCGGGGGATAGAGGATGGCGCTCTGTGGTTGAAGCTAGCATTACGGCGAGCCGGTGGCGGATGTCCAAAGACCGAGGAGGGGAGCGCTCGGTAGAACCCAGGAAATCTAGTAGACTGGGATGGAGACGGGGTTCCGTAACCAAAGCGACGGCATAGTGGTGAAAAGGGGTCATGGGCTGGGGAGAACAGCTGCGAGTGGCGGTTGCGGCGGTGGTCGCACATCCTTGAGGCGGTTTCCGGCATCAAAGCCGGGTATCTCTTTCCTGAAGGTGACAGAGAGACCTTATTTGGCTGCTGAAAACAGGTGTTCCCTGGCTTGTTCAGGTTTCTTGAGTGGCACATGGGCAATCGTATGTTAGAGAGGAGAGGCGCCAACGATCTTTTATACCCCGACGACGTCTGCGCGCGGGCAGTGATTCAAAGACCATCGGCGCCTGTGAGCAACTACATTGTCAAACCAGGGAGGAGGTGAGTCAGTCAGTTCAGGCCCTTCACGAGAGTCGGGTGGAGGTTTCAAAAAAAATCTGGAAGAGGCTGTTTCTTTTAGGGATCTGTTTGCTGGTGTCACGTAGACCTGAGGATGAGGCAGGTAACACGCGATGACGCTTGCGAGAATAAAAAGGGGTCAACTAGCAAAGCAGTCAAAACTAGTTTTCAATTATTTCCCCAGGCACATCTGGTTGCCCGATCACGGTAAAGCATCTACGGAGATAGAGTCTAATGTTCAACAGAAGGGCAGTTATGGAACTGCCGTTGCATACTCCTGGAATTATTCAGGAGGAAGTCTGTAAGTGTGTAATGATAGGAGCTCTAGGGACAACGTACCAGAATATCTGCTGCTAGAAAGAAACTTTCAAATGCGCGCGCTGTCATCTACGCAAAGGTGACCTTGGTACCATTCCTGTCGTCACCCACCAAGCCGGTATAGTCGGCAATTGTGCCATTTCCCACCACATACGACCATACCCACTAGAAAACTCGGGATCCCGTCCGCTCTCCCATAGATAAGCCAGTGAGGGCTGGATTAGTAGTTGAGTCGGTGACGATCAGCGAATACCCGGTGTTGTATGTTTTTTGCTCCCTTTAGAAACGTCTCTCTCACAACATGATATAAACCATCTTACTGACCGGAACCACCACATACGACCATACCTACTGGAAAACTCGGGATCCCGTCCGCTCTCCCATAGATAAGCCAGTAAGGGCCGGATTAGTAGTTGGGTCGGTGACGACCAGCGAATACCTGGTGTTGTATGTTTTTTAATACTTTTTTAGGGCATACTAGTTAGTTTCTCTAGTTAAAACCAATCAGATCAACGAGCGAGAACTCTGCCATTATGCTTGTTAGATCAACCGACATATCCCTTACAACCTGCTTCCCAGCGCCACAAATAGGCTGCATCATCTGGTGCGTAAACTCGAATTCGAAAACAACGATAAGACCCAATGGATCGCACAGGTTCAGATGGGAAAGTCAACAGAAGAAACAGCAGCGGGAATAAAGGCTGAAGTCGATACAATTTGTCTGCTTGCAGACCAAGCGTATGTGCCAGTGCCCAGGGTGTTCGGATGTGAGCTCGCCGACAATGATCTTGTTAGGGCTACCTTCAAACCCATAGAGTTTCTTCCCAGAAATGTGGCCCCGGATGCTTGTGGCGGTTACACTGCAAACAAAAGCAAGATCCCCAAGGAGCACCGGGAAAAGTCCTTCAGCTTGGTTGCTCGGATTCAGGTAACATACACCCATGAAGAACGTCACCTCTTCAAAGTTTATAAACCAAGATATCTTTAGGCAGAGATGACTTCAGCTCGATTGCCCATTATAGGAAGAGTATTGAAAGATAAGGGCGGCTATTCAGTCGGCCCTCTGCCCGGTATCGGGGGCCCATTTGAAACTGCAACAGCCTTTTTGGAGGCTTGGTTAAGATGGGCCCGGTTTCCCAAGTCGATAGACAGAATTTAAGAGCTTATGAACGGAGATCCTACGGACTGGGTAGTTGTCGCTGTTCGTAAGTTCCCATCTGGAATTGGGTCAATGGCAAGCCGACTGACATTTTGTGATAGTTAACCGTTTCCGCTTGTCAACCGATATTTCTATCACAGTAACATTGTCGTTGATGGAGAGTGTCGCATTATAGGGGTCATCGATTGGGAAGATGCGTGCGCCCTGCCGTGGGAACTAGTAGAGTTTCCTCTCTTTCTGGAGACCCCTCCGGCCTCTATGGATTTACCATCCGTCGGCACGCTGTTTTCCCGTGGATCTCGGACCGTAGAGAATACCAAGCTTGGGTGACCGCCTTGGATACGCATCTCAGTACCCAAATAGGTAGAGGAAGGACCGTACCCGGCCCCCAGGAAGTGTCGGCATTTTATTTAGAGTTGCAATCACACGCCGAGGTTGTCAAGTCTGATCCAACTTTGCTCATTTTTCCAAGAAGGGAAGAAAGGTGTATTTCCAGAAAGCATAGTGTAAGAGCAAAGCGGTGAACACAAGCAATAGTGAACAAGGTGGGTATTAGTCAGTGTGCCGTATTGAGGTTTGCCTTCTTTGGGTGGAGTCCACGAGAAGGGTGAGTGTATACTCATGTGGCACGTAAATACTCACGCGTATATGGAGCACACTGGCTGCCAACCTATATGACCGCACTGGCTTGGAACAGTAAGGGTGTTATTGCTATAGGTAATAAGTGACATAGGTTTTCTCTGTAGGGCCTTACATTACTGTTACTATTGCTGTTAAAGCTAACGCAGGTAATGCCCTAAAGATGGAGAATATCACGATATATAAGCTACTATTACTGCCCACGTAGCTAACGGCGTCGTCTTTTGCGTGACAGAGAAAGAGGGAGAGAGGGGAGAGTGTTGAAGGGGCCGCGAGGTAGGAGGTATAAAATAAATTAAAAAGCAGAATCCTACTTGTGTCTTGTCTTTTTTGGAAGCAGGAGAAGGGCAGGACCTTAAGGTCGGTAGCAGGGCGTGCACATAGCTAAGCTCTATTTGCTATGCTTAGTAGAGATTAGAACAGGTAAAACAGAGGGACACCGTTCAGGCGAGGACTTATTTCGTGCTGCAAAGTGGGGACAACAAAGGGAGCTTCGCCTTTCGATGATGGACGTGTAAGGCTTTGGAAATAGGAGGTCAAGGCCCTTACAGCTAAGACTTACGAGGGCCGGATTAGTAGCTGAGTCAGTGACGATCAGCAAACACCTGGTGTTGTATGTTTACAAGCAACGTCTCGCGGGGGAGAGTTGTCAGTCGCCCTACGTGAAGTGAAGTCCCACATTTAGCCTCACCTTTGTTGGGAGGGTGGGGCGTTTCTTTACATAGAAACAAGCCATTCACAGCAACACACTTAGCTCCAAGCAACTGGGCTCTGTTCTTTTGTTTTCACGTCTGTGGTCGAGTCGTAGTGTCTAGGCGCATTCGGTCCATCTCATCTCCCCGATCCTGCACTCCCCCCTGTTGTTGTCGCCTCTAATCGCACCGCCCCCACCCCCCCACCCCCTAGCGGGGCTAAGACACACGTGACATGCAGTGCCACTCTCCCTGCCGCAGCTCCCCCCCTCTTCACCCCACACCGGGCCGAGACCACCGGGGAAGTGCATCGGGGGTTGAGTGGGTGGGCATGACGTCAGAAACAGCCCCTCCCGCTCGTTTTCGCGATGGCAATTGAGTTCGAGGGGTTAGAGCTGCACAGTAGGGTAATTGGCTTATTAGCCCGTCGACGACAAGCCCGAGGGGTTGACGAGAATCCTTTCCATCACCCTCGTTCTTACCCGTTGAACCGCTATCGACCGTCACACGGACCGGCGAACTACGGGCTAAACCCACGCAGATAAGGGGGGGAAAAACCCCCACGAGGGACGCTCACGGTAGCAGACCCAATGTCACACGTTTTTTGGTTCAAAGGCCCATCATTTTCCTGAAGTTTATGTATGCACATAATAAACAATACAATTACCAAAATCGGCCGTTTTGTAGGTACTCCCCATGATTCGGGTCCTAGTTCTAGACGTAAAAAATAACCATGCATGACACGCTGTCATGATGCGTATAACCAACCCAATGCAACGCTATACTATCTCTTTCACAGTCCATCTCCCTCTATTTTTCACTTGCGACCTCGCGGCACCGTGTTGTCCGCAAACCGGATACCTCTCCTTGCAGGCGGCACTCTCTCCCCGCCCTCATCGTCCGAGTCGTCTCCACCGTCGTTGGCGTTCATGCCCAGGGCAGCCTCCCTACGGCGCCTTTCGGCAGGCGTCTCGCCTGAATCCACATTCTCGTCGCTCTGGTTTGACAGCACGGCCAGCCTTCGCTGTCTCTCAATGGCTGTCTCATCCTCGTCGCTTTCCTTCTCCTGTGATGCTCTCGAGGCAGGCTGTGTCGGGCCGGAATCCCCTCGCTGTGGTGTGGACGACCCGGATCTCTTCTCGGTGGAATCGTTTCGAATCTTGATAGTAGGGATGTTCGCTTGTCGTTCAGCCGGAGAGGGGACGTCTCCCTTCGCAATGGACTTGACACGCTGTGATGCAGTCGATTGGTCCACGACCTGTCGCCGCGTCTTTTCGTCAAGCTTCTGCACTTCCCGAATGAAGTCCTCCTTGGTCATCCTTTGGCCGACTCCACCTATTGTGAATCTGATATGTCGGTCATCGTCGCCTTGTTCATCAGCCGCGTTCTTCTTCGGCTTCTGCGCGGCACCGGCACCGCCGCCGCCGCCGCCAAGGTAGCGCTGCCAGCCTGACTTTGTGGGTACGTTGGTAGCACCCTCGGCACTGGATTCTCCTGGTGCTGCGCCTTCAGTCACCGGCTTGTCGGATGCCCTCAGCAGACCGCCCATGCCGAGGTACTTAAGACCCTGCTGTGTGCGGCCTGCATGTTCCTTGCCAGACTTTGCCGACGGTAGCTCGTAAGTTTTGATAACTTCACCATCTTCGTCTTCAACAATAATCTGGAGAACGGGTTAGCTTGGTAAATAATGTTGCGAAGCCAATCTTTGCTTACTGTATTGCCAAACTGGAAAGCCCGAGCGGGCTCGTGCCGCCTGCCAATCTTGCTCTTCTCCTTGCGTTTCTCCACCTCGGAGCTGTAAACGTCCTCGACCTTGCGCTTGAACGAATCCAGGGTCCAGTTGAACTTTTCACCCTGTCTCGACTTGGTGGGCGAAAGAGCATTCACGTCGTTTTCAACAGGTCTCCGATGACGAGCTTCTTCCACGGCCGCCTCTGCATTACCCCCGGAACCGGAACGTTCGACAGTCAACACATCACCATCCTCATTCTCGACCACCAGGTTATCACCCTCCTCGTAGATTTGGACCTTGGACGGGGTTTGCGTTCGGCTAGAGCCTTCATCGGGAGAGGGTGTGATTTCGTCGTCGTCCTTTTCGGAGTCTCTTGCGCGGCCCCTGTCGGATTCGCGTCTGGGTGGCGTGGTGCCCTCGCTGTCAGGGGAGGCGGTGTCCTTTTCGTTGAGAAGGGGCTCGCGTCTAGTGGGGAAAATAGCAGACTGGGAGACAGGCCCGCCCGGGCCGATACCGTCGTCCCACTTGTTCTTCTTGCGCCGGCTGCGCGAAGTCGATCGAGCGCGCGATTTGGAGCCCTCCTCGTCCTTTTGACGTCGCAAAAAAGCGCCCGGGAATCCGACGGGGGGCAGTGTGCCTGGCGGAAACTCTGGCACCTTCAACTCCTCCCCGTCTGTGTCGGACATGGTTCGGGCTTGCGATCGAGACTGCGACGAGATTCTGGGCAGGCGGTTCATCCAGGTGGGACCGTCCTCGGGGGCGGTGGTGTAGGACATGGTGATTGTCAAGGTGTTGATGCGCTTTCCGAGCGTGAAGACAGCCACCGACGAACCGTGGACAATGATGGAGGAGATGACGAGGAAGGAAACGATTGGCCATATAACAGCGACCAGGGTCCTGTGCTCGACGTCATCGGGCGGGACATCGGAGAGCGGTACAACCGTCTCCCACTGCAACTCGGCGCGTGCCAAGATGGCGACAAAGATGGCGCCGACCCCGATTGGACCAAAATGGCCGGCGAAGACAGCCTCGCGCCACGTCTTGATGTCCGGTATGAAGGGCTTCAGCATGAGCATGGCGGGGATGCGGCGGAACAGGATGACGAATATGGCGATGACGACCAGCCGCCAGGGGGTGATACCCTCGGCGACGTTGTTGTACTGCTCCCAGGGGATGATGGTGCCCAGAAACACAAAGTAGGCCAGGTTGATCAACAAATCGATGACGTTGGAGACGTGCGACTCTTCAGTCCTGGAGGCGAACCAACCGTCGTTGGAGAAACCGACGCCGGCAGCGAAGCCGACGATCAGGTCGTCCATACCGAGCAAACTACCAGCACCGGCGCAAAAGAGGGCGAGGACGAAGTAGAAGACCAAGAAGCTCTCTCGGTCAATCAGATCGTGCTCCTCTGCGTATTTGATGCCGTGGCGTGCGATGTAGCCAACGAGGAAACCGAAGATGGCGCCAAAGATGCACTCATAGAGAATCGTGTAGACAATCCAGTGGTAGATGGTCTTTTTGGCGTCCATGTGCTCCTGGATGAGGTAAATGCCGAGGTAGACAAAGGGGAAGGCCATGCCATCGTTGCAGCCGGACTCGGCCGACAGCAGGTCTCGCAAGTGCTTGGGGACCCGCTTGGCGAACTTGCCCTTGCCGACGACGGACGAGGCCAGGACGGGATCGGTGGCGGTCACACAAGCGGCGACGACCAAGCTCTCGAGCCAAGTCAGCGGATCAATCAGCCACCAGATGAAGAGGCTCACGACGAGCCAGCCAATGGTCATGACAGGGATCAGCAGAAAGGTGACGGATCTCCAGTGCTTCTCCATGTAGAACTTGGGCAGCTCTACACCGACGGCGAAGCATTGTACGACAAGGACGATGCGGGAGAACTCGATGGTAACGAGGTCGACGTTGCCCCAGCTTTTGGGGTCAATCAGGTTGGCGGCGTGAGGGCCGAAGATGATGCCACAGATGGTTGCGACAGTGGCTTCGCCAATATACATGCGCTCCTTGATGATGGAGGAGCAGAGCATGAAAAGGGTTGTGAAGCCGCCCAGGATGATGTACACCAAGTGCGGCTTCGTGATGGAGAGATGGTCCCACGCCATGGCGGCGCTTATGTATGTTGCAGAGGCTGTCGGGAAGCGTGCTCGTTGGCAGTGCGCCTCGTGGAACGCCGCGAGCTCGATCGCTCAGTCGCTGGCGGCAGCAATGTTATCGTATATTGGGCCTGGTGAAGGGCTCGAAACTCCCCAGTCGATGGATTGGGTCCCGATAGCGAGGGTGTCTCGATGCATTCAGACCAAGAGTCGGCGGCGGTTGGACTCGAGGGAAATAGGAATCGGAGCGGGAACGAAATGCAAATGCGGAAAAAGACGGTATATGAGATCACCGGCGGGCGTTGCCTCTTGGCGCGGATTCGAAGTGTTGCGCGCCTCGTCGAGTCGAGTCGAGTTGGTGGGAGGAAACTCGCGATTCGTCTGAAGGGGGATCGCGACAATGAGGGGTTAGACGGAATCCCAACAATCTCTGATCTAGTCGGTAGACCAGCAGACTTTACGATAAGCGAGAACGAACGACAGAAAGTAGGACAAACTTCGGGGATCACGGAACCTAAGTATGTCGCAGCGGAAAAGACAGCCAGCATGTCGGCGTACTGATAGCAGAGGATGATCCATGCAAGGAAAAAAAAAAAAAAAAAGCCTGTCCCCGCCTGGATAGCGCGAGTGGATGAGAGACCGGGGGGGGGTCCTGCAGTGCGCCTGGGACAGGGATGAATGGGAAGGAGTTCTGGTGGGACCGGGAAGGAAGGAAGGAAGGAGCCAAGGAGAGAGGGAGGATGAGGATGGTGTTGTTTCCTGCTCTTTCTCTTTCCCAGCGGTTCCCCGTGGTTCTTGCTCCTCCCCCGGCGCCGCCGCCGCCGCGGCGGACGTCGTTGTCCATCTTATGTTGGTAGGTAGTGAGCACGTACATGATACGCTCCTGCCTCTGCTGTACCGCCATAGGTACCTGTGGAAGTACATATCATGTACCGTCGGTTTCCCGCACGCACGGAAGGAGGCGCAAGGCTTACTGACGCGATACCTCGGGCAGTACCCCATGGCTGGCCTAATCGTAGTGTACCTAGGTAGGTATATCAAGCAAGACAAGCTACCTAAGCTACACTGGCTAGGTAGGTACCCAAGGAGGTAGATGGGCCGTATGCCTGCGCCTGCTTTACCGTGATTTATCCTTCCTTGCCTTGCCGCATGCTCGTTTCTTTTTTCACTCTTTTCCCATATTTCACTCAAACTATTCTCATGCAGTTTTCTGTTATTCTGCCATGACCATTGATGATTTTGTTGTTACGCTTCGGCCCACGGCAATTACGGGGAGGACGGATGCTACCATGGAATAAGGTTGCTGAGACGTGCCCGCCCCCTTGCCCACTGCTCCGAAGTTGGGCTCATCTGGCATCGGGGCCAGGGTCGACGGGTATTGTTACCTTGTGCGCAGGTCCGTTTGTCTGATTGTTTCGTGTGTACGTGTGTACACTATGCTGGCACCCTGCGATCGAGCCATGCCTGATTGTGCTAGTCTTGTCCCAGCTCTTCGGGCACATGGCCTCGAACGTGATGGGGCATCAGGTTGTGTAGGACATGCGGCACAGAGAGAGTCAGTCAAGTTCCAGGGCAAACAAGGCAAAACAAAAGAGAGAAAAAAAACAAAACATTTGTCGTTCGATTCGTACGCCCAGTGGTTCTGCGATATACCGGCATCTCACAGCCGAGGGGAATGCACCACACATTTTGGATTGCCGCGCGGAGCCGTTCAAGGGAGTTGATGGGAATGCATATACTGTATGTAGCTAGCCGACGGGATGCATAGGAATTAGGAAGAAGAGGGGGAAAAAAAAACCCCAGCACTGTCTGTGTTGCCAGAGCCCAACGCCGGGGTTTCTTGGATTACGAACTTTGCTCGGTTGCGGACGGTGAGCGCCCATGCCTGCCAAGCGGCTGAAAACATGGATGGGCCCTGATATGGCTGGCCCCGTGGTGTCGTAATCTGCCGGCCTCTCGTGTCGGGTAGACTAGTATACCGGGCTTAGCTGACATGAATTCGAAGCGTTGCATCTCCTCCGAGTCGGGCATTGCTGATTGATAACGACCGTCACCGTGCCTTCCCCGTCCATCACACGTAGTTGAATTTAATCGCCAGATTCCAGATTTGGTAGACATGCTGGCTTGCCCAATCAATTAGCATGAGATATCTGTACTACGCAAGGGTCCATCTCTTGGTCAATCTTGCAGAAATGTCTTGTCGCACCATTGGCAAAAGCTTGACCGGCGCAGGTTTTTTTCTCCCTGGAGCTTCTGGCACAATTCTGGACCGTCTTTGTGAGTGCGCCCTGGTTGGGTCTTCCAAGCATTGGCAACCCGGTTTTGGGGAGCATTCGGGTGCCGCAACGCCGCTGGGGTCTCCAACTCGATTTCACAGGCTCGGCGCCCAGAGACGAGCGGCGTCACCGTCCACTTTTTTTTCGGCCTTGGATGGAGAGAGGAAAGGGCGAATTCGAGTCATGGCTGTCATGTTGACATGGCATCAGGGCGGGACCTGGGGAAGAAACGCCACGAGGAAAACAACTCTTCAAAAGACATGAAAAGAGATGAGCAGTCACGTTGGGCTGTCGAACTTGGGTGAAATTTCTCGAAGAATCTTCGCAGCATCTGGCTGGCAGTCAGTCAGTCAGTCAGTCAGTCGGTGGTGACATGTTTGTTTTGTTTATGGAAGGATCCCGAAGTCCCCCCACTTCCTTCCGCCATCCATCTTCGTGAAAAGAGAAGGAAGGTACGGAGTACATAGTACAATCCAGGCAGGACAATACCTACCTACGTAGTGTGTGACGTACCCACCGAGTACAGCGAAGTGTAGTAAGTAGCGTACATAGTACCTATCTGATGTACGCAGTTTGCTTAGTGTACGTAATACATAGTGTACATGGACCGGCCCTCGCGATACCTTTGCAGTACTTACGCACGGATCCCCATCATGACCACCTCAGTCCGCCGTCGCAACTCCCATTCATTTGTCCTTCCTTTTCTTCATTCCTTTTGTTTTATCTCGTTCATCCTATCATGTCGTCTATGGACACACAACCTGCGCTGCGCTGCCAGCTCCGGCTCATGGTTCTCAATGCACTGCGGACACTCGGTGATGCCATACAACAAACAGAACCTGTTGCAATCAACGTGAAGACTGGCGGTTGTCGGGATCCCCCAGCAGATCAAATGCGCCTCTGTAATCCGACTGAAACGCCCGTCGCCGCCTTCTCTCGTCTTACGAGGTGGATGGCGCCAGGGTTGTCCTAGAGTGTCTCGCACACAATTGATTGTTGTTGGGGCTCAGCTCTCTCTCTCTCTCTCCATCTCTTTCTGAATGTTCCAGGCGAATCTCGTCGGTTTCCCCACGGTCTTTTTTTCGGTTCCTGTCTCTGCCACCGTCCGTGGGACCTCTCGTCCTTCGTCTCGTCTCTCTCTCTCTCTCTCTCTCTCTCTCTCTCTCTCTCTCTCTTGAGCTTCCGCCCGTCTCACCTTTTTCACCTGTCTCAGCATGAGATGACTCTCTCTCAGACACCAAGGGCTCTCGAGGAGCACGCGCCAACAACCTATACGACGCCCTCCGCAAACTCCCGCCCGTATATTGCCGCCTATCTTATTTGATTCCTTTGCTCACTTTACCCTTCCCCCCCTGCTATCACCCACCCCCTCCCCTTTCCGAACCGCACCGCCGTTACGTCACCAAAACCCTGTCCAACTTGATTCGCCCGTGACAGAAGCGTGCCAAGAGTCTAACTCAACGACCGCTCACCACCAGCTTGTCACGCTGCATATCCTGCCTAGGCGACGGCCAAGCTACATCCTCCACGCTGCAAATCTTTCCCCCCCACGAGATCGCTTGCCCCGGTTCCCCACTACTACTATTGTGCGTTTTGGGGCGTCGCTCCGTTGCTGTGATGCCGCCACCCTTTGAACCTCCCAGACAACCCTCGGATTGCGGATACCCAAAGAATCTGCAACCGGTACGAGTTGGCACACTAAACTACATACGAGGTAGTGAACTACCTACTTTACTGTACATCAACCCACTCACTACGCGAGTTGTGCTCCACTGCCTGCTGCACTTCCGCGACCTTCCTATTTGGCCGACCTACCGTGTCTGCAGCCAAGAGACGATGATCAAAGTCGCAAGCTCAACAAAAGCTTGATGCTAGCGCACCACAAGTCGAAGAGCTGCTTGTTAATATTCCCATCGCGCCGTAACAGGAGTCGAGCCATCGTTTTACACAACAATGTACGCTTTGATGTTTGCCGTCGCCCTGTCACGCTAGTCACTACGGTGTGTCACCATGACCATTCCACCTCAAAAGTGGGCAGGTCTCGGCACATCGGGTCACAAGTCGCTGTTGGTCGCCACAAACCCTTCTTCGCGGGCACAGAAAAGGCCAAAAGGTTTGACCGCACCAACTCGTCCGCGCCTCCCCTATTACCTTATATCTGCTCGTTACTTCCTGAGAACCTCCGTGGATGTCGCTTTGAACTAACCCGCCCGCATATCCGCCATGACCGGTCCGAAAGTGGACCGCCGCGTCGGCAAAATGCATCCGCAGACCCGGAGATCAACTGCCGTACTTGCTGTACACGTGTGGACCTCCCTGTTTTGGCGAGCCCGCATCTGCTCCCACATCCCAGTCCACAATCTTCAGGATTTTTTTCACTCTATAGTCCCAATTTTCAGCCGACTGTGCACCTCGTCTCGAGCTACGATAGCTTGTCTACAGCGCCGATGGTTTAGTGGTAAAATTCTCCGTTGCCATTAAGCAGCGTCGGGGAGCCGGGGGTTCGATTCCCCCTCGGCGCACGCATATTTTTTGCCCTGCTTCTGGCGTCTCTTGAAATGCTCTCACTCAGATTTCTTTTTGACCCTTATGTTCTTTGGCTGCTGGTTGCCTCTTGCCTCCGAGCTCGATGGTTCATTTAAGAGACCATGTGTGGAATGATGCCCCGGTTGGTGTGACGTGACTATCTACCTTCTCAGAGGCATGTGTGTGAGGCATGTGTGTGCATTGGTGTCACCTGTGCGATGTTGAGAAGGACCGCCTTGTATATATATGTATGTATATATCTACCTAACCTGAGTATGATCTAATCTCACTGCAGTGACTGGCCCAGGTTCTACTGGAACGAATGACGTTGATGAGTTGGGATGAAAGCCATATTCTCAGCCCGCGAGAAAGAAGCCCAGGCGATTTCCCTTCTTGGTGAATCACAGCGAGATCGGCCTCTTCGTCGAATCACTCCTCATGGTGTTTTGAGTACGTCAGTCATTCACAGTCACCCTCTCTCATGACCAAGACCACATATGAGTCTATGGAAGAGGTATAATGTATGAAACGAAGTGAGGGAGAACTTACATAAATACAGCTGGGCCCCGGGGTCCTTTGAAGAAGGTACTGATGGCTTTCATCCTCGGACAAGACCACAGAGAAATCACAATAGCATCATCACAGAGATCATACTTCAATCAGAACGACCCAGTCAAAAACGCACATACATACAGCCAAGAAACCAGATAAACACAACCAAGAAACAACAATGAAAGCCGTCAACGTTACCAGCCACCGCTCCTACCTGGATGAGTACTTTTACGAGTGCTCCAGTAGCCAGGACAGCCAACGTAGCGTAGAGAGCCAGGACAGCCAGCTCAGCGTCGCCTCCGATGACACCGTCGACACCGTCGTAGACGACGCCGACAAAGAGTACGCCATCTGGGGCGCCACCAGGGCGGCCTTTGACGCGTGGGCGGGCGACCGGACGCGCCGCCGGTGTCGGTGGCGATGCTGTCGGTGCCGGCACGTCAACCGGATGCCGCGGTCCCGGCTCACCATGATGCACTGCCGCAACACCGGGCCGCTCGGCGAGTCGGTTGGGGGAGGAGAGGGAGGAGGGGAAGGAAGCTGCCCGAGGGACGAGGCGGGGGAGGCGCACATGGGGCCCGGGGCGTGCTGCGTCATCCTTGTGCCGCGCGGCGAGGGGCCGGCGGCCGAGGGGCGAGTAGAGTAGCTGGGGTCCAGAGATGATCCGGGTCGGGGAAGAGACTTTGGCGTAGCTTTGCGTCCTCTCTAGTCTAGCTGATGTCACAGCTTAGTTGATCCTTATTTAGTATTTCTTTCATACTGCGCCCTGAAAGCTTTGCGCATTCAAGGCAGACATGCAGAGACGGCATGTTGATGTAGGCAACTCACGAAGAAGGTGACTAGCTACAAATCTAGATCTTATGAAGAGTACGTTGCGATGCAGACGTCAAGGGGCTAGTGATACAGTACAAAGACTTGGTGATCTTGAGACTAAGCTGAGTGGATGTGTCGATACAGTCTGGGGGTCCGTTCTCTCTCGGATACATCTGTTCAAGACCTAAAATATGCCTTCCCAAGTTTATAGTCTCCACACTTAACTGGTATCATGGAGGTTACATTTGTTGGATGGAAATTTTCAAGACTTGTAAAAGCTATCTAACCCAGTTCACTTAGTACGTAACTATTACGATGTGTATGAGCTAATACGCATTACCTCTAGCACATACTATACCTTGACCTCTCAATACTATCTCACGAACGACGTAAGGTAACTACTGCATCAGATTTCACTTCAACTCTAGTGTGAACGATCTTCAAAATGGCGTTGTTGTAGATATGTGCTTGCACGTTAATAACAGCATTGGCCACAACCTCCGTGGCTTGATGCCAATACCATGGATGATGGTACTGCCGAACCTACCACTGAGGTTGTGACAGCAACATGGGGACCGATTTACTAGCCACAAGATGGAAGTGCCCATTGACTGTTGAATCCTTGTAACGGAGGTGCTATTTGTTGGTGAATTGACACATAAGCCGAAGTGACTCAAAGTCGTCACTGGCGGAAGCTATAGAAATATGACACGAAGCCACAGGCCCTAGGTTGGTCACATGCATCTTCATACCGAATGCGAAGGCTCTGTTCTGTTTATGAAGGTATGGAGACAGAAAGACCAGAGAATATGCTATAAATCACTGATAGCAACAGGCCTTGACCAACACCATTGGATATGACACAACCCATCTTCAACATGCGTTTATGGCCTTCTACAGGCTTCAATTGTCTATAATCTCTTCAAGTCCTTAAACCCCCTCAGCTTCTGTTCTCAAATCGCTCAGCCATCTACCGAAAACAACCGCCGCAGCCGCGTCAGCTCGTACCTGGCACTTGAGGTCTATGGGATCACCTACATTTCTCATGCAGAACATGTCTATAAGGCACTAGCAGAGCATAAGTACAGACTCGATCAGGGTGAAAACATGAAAACCATTCTACTCAGGATGATATCATCCTCATACCGCCTCCTCATCAGTTAAATTACCACCATATCAACATGGATGGTGTCAGCCTCAAAGTCGTCCTGCGAGAGTTACATTTCATTTATAACGGTACTAACCCTCCACCAGCGCCACCAGCTATGTAGTATCACGAATTTTGCCAGTAGCAACGTTTAGACTATGCTTCCTGACGCTGGGCCGGCGGGCTCAAGTTCTGGCGTAACGAGTTTAGGGACCAATCCTCACCCGTCCTTCCCCTTCTTCTCTTGGACAAGACGCAATCCCGCGTGCCGCTGGCCACACACTCGACACCCATGACCGAGAAGCCAAAATGGCCAGCCGATCGAGCCCATCGCATCGACGACATGGTGGAGCAATTCGAAGACAGAATCGCAGTTGCAGACAGACAAACAACCCGCGTTACCTACATGGAAATGTCACAGAGGATCGGGGCCATAAACAGCACTTTGAGCAGAAACTGGCATTAACAGTAAATTCGGGGAGAACAGTTCGTAGAATTCTAACAACATAACCACCCCCATCTTCCTCCCTGATCAAGGCCCATAGCCAATCCCTTCACAACATTATTGTAGGTGTAAGTGGTTTTCCTATGTGTTGCTATTTCTTTTTTCCTTTGTTAGGTGGCCTAGATGCCCTGCCCTTTCTTAATACTATTAGAGAAGCTCTTTTTTTTTGTTGACTTAGGAGTTAGGGATTTGGAGTTGAGGATTTGAAGTTGGTGTAGGGACGACAGAAGTGACTTAAGAGGAGGTGGGTCAGTACTTTGAGATAGTCTGAAATGCTAAAGGTTTGACCCACAAAGTGTCTGCCTGTTAACTGCTACCTAAACCAGAGGTCATTATAATTATAGTAAGAATTCTAATAATGATGCACATTCTAAAACAATGTATTGTTATGTATGTCTGAAACTAAGGGGTAAAAGTGGGGGTGGGCCTACCTCGGGGTTAGTGAGTTCAGTTCACAACTAAAGGGATATGAGTAATGGAATAGTGGTAACTATCTTTCCCCCTGTTACCTTGTAATTTATAAACCTTATTTCTAAGGGTATAAGTACTCTTTAAAATTGTCTTCTGAGGTTTAAATTATTATCTCTCACTAACTTCTTTCCCTTTCTATACACTCAACCTTTTAGTATCTTCTATTGATATATACTAGCTACAATTATGAAAACCACTCTTATCTCGTCTCTGATTATTGCTTTGGCTAGTGTATTTGCCACTGCTAGCATCTGCAGCGACAAATGCAATGCGCAATGTGGAAGTGTAAGTAAATGTATTCTTACGTATCTTTAATAGAAATTTCTTACTAAATCATTGAAAAAGGTTGGGGGGTTCTCAGGCAGCTGTGATCCTGCTGGCAATCTTGTATCATGCACATGTAACCCTGGCAACCCACCTAAATGAGAAAGGTATAAGCCTTCTGGTTGTGGTGTGACACCCTAGCGCTTTAGAAACTCACACGCTGCAAAAGCCTTTCAAAAGGTATTAGGTAGTCTCCATCCGTAAAGGGCCCTAGGCCCCTTAGGGTGTGGTCGGCCGCTGCTCATGAGGAGTGATTAGTGGCCAAGGGGTATTTCTGGCGTGCATAACCCCTCTGGAAGGGTATCTGAGCCCAGATGCTTGCTGCAGCTAGAAAGTTAGATTTATACAATATATCTTTCTAAATGTATTGCAACTTACCACTAAAAGAGGGAAAGCGTTACTTAAATTAGGCTTTTCTGCTATTAATCTTGGCATAATAAATTAATAGCTAGCGTAATTAGTGGCTAGCTAGCCTGCCTAGATTATTAAAGTAATGCTGAGTATAATCAGGGTTAGGGTTATTGAAGACTATTTGAGTAAGCGGTGAGCTGGTTATAGACTATACCTACTTTGGTAGTACAATGGGCATAAAGCTGGGGTAGCACAAGCAACAAAAAGTCTCCCCTGGCCACTAATTACTCCTCATGAGCAGCGGCCGACCACACCCTTAGTAATGCCGCTTCGGCGGGGGGTTCTGGACGACTTTTTGTTTGTTTTGTTTGTTTGTAATATTTAACGCCGGGGGACTCCCTGAAAAGGGCAAAAGGCGCCCGGTTGCTACTTCTCACGGTCTAAATACAGCATACAAGATAAATTTCCTTCTCACAGGGCTCATACACCGGACCTTGTCTCCGCAGGCCGCGATTCAGCAGGTAGTAGGTGATCTCCATCCGTTAGGGGCCCTGGGCCCCTCGTTAATGCCGCTTTGGCGGGGGATTTCGGATGACGACGGCGAAAGCCGACTCTGAAACCCAAGCGACTTATCTAACTTAACAGTGCGAAAGCGCACAGCGTGCGAAATCGCACGTGGTCGGTCTTCAGAGGCGTAGTGGTGATGCTACGCAGAAACCCCGGGTCTGGCCCAGTCGCCCTTGGGCGGCTGGCGGGGAGTTGGCGGGGGGAGCAGGAGAGAGAGAGAGAAGGGGGGGGGGGGAGGGCAGCCAGCTAGCGTAGGCCGGCGCTTTCTGAGAGCAACTCGAAGTACCGGGTGCGTTTGATGTGGGTGACGAAGTTACCCCAGCGGGTTCTGGACGACACCGGCGAAAGCCGACTCCGGTTCCCGAGCAACTTATATAACAGTACAAAAGCACACAGCGTGCAAGTTTGCACGTAGTCTTTAGAGACGTAGTAGTAATGCTACGCAGCCTGCCGCCGCCGTAGGCCGGGAGCTAGGGCGTGCGCAGGACACGGCGTACGCGTACACGCAGGACTTGGGCCAGGGCGGCGTCTCCGACGTGATGGGTTTGGACTAGGGCTTTGGCGGGCTGGAGGGGTTGCGATGAGCTGGTAGGGATGTGCGTGCAAGTAAGTATTATGTTGTTTGTATCCGTACTAAGGGGAATTACAGCTACAGCTAGTAGCGTAAGTCAACAGGCTGGGCGGATAGGCCGGATAGGGCTGATCGGCCGGGCCGAGTTGGTCACTTTGACAAAAAGTCTATTATATGTGCTCAGTTAACTAAGGTAGTAGAAAGAAAGTTAGGAAAAGCCTTACAGCCAGTGTCTCCAAGCTAATCCAGAAGTGTTATCATAGTGACTATAGAGTATTAGGCTAAAGTTAATTATTTTATTATACATAGTAGATTACTCTTAGAATAGATAGGGCATAAGGAACGTATATATTTTTCTGCTGTATTTACTTTAAAAATATAGCAAAAGCGTAGGAAACCCGTATTAGTAGAACAAATATCAGGTTTTGCTATATAAATTTTATTCTTCTTCTAATAACCCTGCCTACATTAGATATAGTATGTACTATATAGCAAGGAATCGGGACCAGTACTCTATTGATAAATTAAAAACCTATTGCTTGGAACATTGTTTAGAATATGTGTATTACTTACAGGTAAGGAAGCTGAACAATAATTAATATCTACACTAACTCAAATAGAGAGATTAAAACAAGGATAGCCTTAAGGAACTTTTAGTCTCTTACAATAGGGATAGTAGGCATAGTTATTGATAGTCTTATAGAAACTATATATACTCTATCTTTCTTCTTCTTACTTCTTCTCTGAACTATCTTCTCTATCACACTATTATCTCCTCTACACTATTATCTCCTCTACACTATTATCTCCTCTACACTATTATCTCTCCTTTTCTATTTATTATATTATTATCTGATTCTAACATAATGAATCCTAAATCATTTGTTACTCTCATCTTTGTTAGCGCCACCCTTGGTGCTGCTGTTCCTGGAACAGAACCAGGAACAGAACCAGCTACCTCTCGTTTAGTAGCACGAGGGTGGCGCTGTTACTACATGTGTAGAGAGGAGGGTCACAGTGAAGCCGAATGCCACAGAAGATGCAAATTTTGATAGCAATTCTAGTAAGCTGTCTATATAGGTAAGGAAACTGAATACCACACCCCTAGTACTAATGTCTAGACTAACAACGCAACAGGCTTCCCCTCAGCGATCTGCCTACAACATACAATACTATTATAATGGGGCCAGTAAACATAGGGTTAGAGACGTGATCTGCCAGCCTTGCTCATATAGAGTTTGGCCAGCAGCGGCAATAGGCCAGGGGTATCATTATTAGTTAGCATTAGCAACACACACAGTCACTACCGCAAATACATTAACTTTATCTTTTGAAAGTCACCCTTTTGGCCACAACCATGCGATCTTTGGCTTGATTCTAATTTTCCCTTTAGAATAGATCTAAGAATCAATAAGCCTATCTTTTTCTATGTATATTGTTATAATTAGACGTTGTTTTAGTGGGGTGTGTTGTGTGCATATTCTATTCTTCTTTTCCTTTCTTTTTGCTGGTGGCCTACGGCCTAACTCTTTCTTACTATGTTCTAGAGAGACCCCTGTTATATTACAAAAGTCATCAACCAAGTAGGTACCTTTACGGCGGAATACTAGTTTAATCCTCTATATACACTGTTATAGAGGGCACAGATGGAGAGGCCCTGGGATCTATAAGCCTGAGACCCCTTCTATACTCAGTCTTGTGGATAAGTTATACATACATACATATATATATATATATAGTGTTAGGCCTATCCTAGCACATTCGTTACAGCAATAGTCGCACTATGCATCAGACTATAAGGTCTTACACAAGCATGACTAAGTCTACTAAGGATATGCCAGTATAGGGGATCGTCCACTCATTATATAGATAGAAGGGATATTCCCATATTCCTACATTCCATATACTCATTAATCCATTTCATTGACTTCCTACCTTTGTATAAGCCTGTCAGCTGCTGCCCAACAGTCATGAGCCCAGTTGTCTTTCGGACCACTGGATGCTCTCAATAGCTTCGCACAGTCAATACCCCTGACCTATCGGTATCACCAGCAACCCAGGTAGGCTCCTGGTCAATCCTCGAGTATCCATCCTGTTGTCCAGCTGCAAGACATAACAGCCAGTCAATATGTCTACCAATCAGTCAACTATTCGTCTGAAAGGTCAATCTGACTGGCCAGACTGGTACACCTTCATCAGGATGAACGCCAAGTCGAATGGGGTATGGCAGTTCTGTGACCCAGACTCTGATGAGGTCCTTTGTCAACCTATCAGACCTAACAGACCTGCCAACCCAACCACCGAGCAGATTACTCTATTCGAAGCAGATAGTAGAGTATATGTTGAAGAGCTCAAGCAGTATGAGCGCAGGACTCATGCGCTTCAGAAAACCATGAGGGACATCACTACTATCATCGAGATGACCATGCTGTCCTGGCTAGTAGACGCTGATACCCCTCGTGTAGCACTGAGATGTCTGAAAAACAGATATCAGCGAACTCCTGAGGCAGAAAAGATGCTTGCCTACAGGACCTATAGGGACCACTTGACCAGAATAAAGAGGTCTAACACGCGCCGAGAAGCAGAAAATGGAGGAACATAAAGCGTCAAGATGAACATTGATAGACGAACTACTTACACAAATGAGTATGTTCAAAGTACGTCTTGTCGCCTCGCCAATATTTTTCGCTGTGGGGTGGGCGTAACAAGTATGCATACCTTCTGGTGCGTCGGCGGTACATGAGATATTGTAAATCAATCCCTGAGGCAGAGGTGGTATCCTTGATGCGGCCACGAATCGGTGGTCCTCAACGGCGTAAATGCGCAAATACCCCGTATCTAGAACCGATCACCGCGGGCGTGTAGTGCCGAGAGCCACTTTGCACGGCTACAAATTCCGTAGCGGCCATCAGAAGAATGTGCAGGTACTGACCATCACTAAGGAACTCACGGACGATGTGCTACCTGCGGAATAGTCATGCTACAGCCACTCGTTAGTGGAATATTGTGTTGGCAGGGCAATAAAGAAGCCAGCATCTGAGGCGATAGCGACGTGCAAGGCCATACATCGCAGAAGTACTAAGCTGACAGTGTTATTCCATGCATGTTTTAGAGCCAACTCTGGCTTCTACGTCACAAATACCAGCAGTCTTGGGTCAGGCTGCAGAGCCCATTCTGGATTACTAACCCCTGTTATCAAGGGTGACTCAGCTACTTCTAAGGCCATTAGCTAAGGCTTAAAGCCTTAGGTAAACAGAGTTCTAGTTAGGGCATACTGCTCAACATCAAATCTTAGCGCCATAGTTATAGTTAGCAGTAATATGCCAGCTGTATAAAGAGCAAGAAGGGCAGGACAAACGTCCACAGAGCAGATATAGGATGCTAGGCAGTTTTTAGATAAGCAAGATCTGGACGGATTACCAGGGAGCCACTTCTAGCTCTATTATTCCTACAAAAGTAATCCACTCAGCCACATAAGCCGCCACTCCACACTACCCTCACTAAAGATAGAGTACAAAATCAAGCAAAGCCCATTATGCCTTTGTAAGTTTTAGCTATCGCAAATTAAGAAAGGCTCATTTTAGCTCCAGAACCACAGCAACTATAAAAACACTATCTCTGCCAGCCCCACATGTAAAACCATAGCAGCAGAGGGCAAAGAAAAGGCAGAAGAAAAAAAAAAAAAAAGGAAAAATATAAAAAAAAAGGTCCAAGCCTACTAGTTATCATGCTCAAGATTTCTAACTATACCCTAAAATTACTAGAGAGCCTACAGCGCCAGGATCGTCAGGTCCCTAGCGTTCTCACATAAAAGTGCCAAAATAACTCACAATACTATAGGTTAGGCAAGAAAGCCATCCAGACCAGCACAACTAGCTTCTGTCATCATTCTACCACCCCGTAACCAGCTAGGCTGGCTACCGTTTTACAGGTCAAGGGATAGGTTGCTGTTTCTGTCAATGATCCCTATCCAGTGCCAGCGCTGCCGCCAAAGCCAATCTATCAAACCAATAATCAAATAAATCAAACAATTGAGGCCATTCGCAACTGTCAAATAAACAATTCCTGACCCCTCAAATTTGATAGATTGGGTAGATTTGGCTTGGCTTATTATATAAGCGTGCATATAGCCAATGAGATGTCTCCCATCGCGAATATCCACGCCCAACGCGGCCAACTTTATTTTTCTACTTGCAGCACTATTGATCCTGAAAGCTTCGCGACGCTCTTTTTCTGCCGTCCTAGATGAATTTTCTCTTCAGGCGATTGATGCTCTTGAGTGATCTGCGAATCTAAGAGACGCTGATTGTGGGTATAAAGGGCTTGGATCCCCCTCTTCCTACCTCTCTTCTTCTTCCTTATGCCTCACAAGCAAACAACATCACCAACATCGCCAGAACCCTGGGTTTGCCTACTCTGGTCATCATGAGTTCAACCGTACGTCAGAAATTGTTTCTTCTCCCCCCCTCCTCCCATTCCCTGACCCTTTATAAGGGCGTCCCTATCCATTTGTATACCCCTTTGAAACACCCTAGTAATGAACAGTACTAGGAACTAAACACAATCAACAATGCCTCACAGACATTGTCCCCTACGGCCTTGGCCACCAACGCTCTTCAACGACTTCGATCCCCAACTAGAGTCACTACTCAAGTGGCAAATAGTCTCTCCGTTGTACTTCCTTCGAATCCAAGCATCTTCGACCTCCCTACGATCACATGACATAACAAGAGATATGTGGTTGAAGAGCAGCTGGCGCGTAAAGGAGGAAGGGGGAGGAAGACTTGGATCAAGGACCATGGGGTATTTCTTGTTGAGCTTGGCGCCGAGGGGCCAATTGCAGCTTACTGGTGCTGTCAACGATGTGACAGCAACGGAAAGCCAGAGTTCTTCTCTGCTGCAGCTTCCAGCTCTGCTGCAGACCACCTTCGAAGGTATGTATATATCTTCTGATATGGCCAATCCTAACTGATCTGTATACAGATGCCATCAGATCACACAATCAGATCCTTCCGACAACTCAAGCTCAGGGGAGACTCTCTACAGCTCTGAGGATGGTACTCCTTCGCGGAAGAGGAGGAGGATATCCAACGTACCGAAGGCCAAAGTGGCCACCGTTAGAGAGCTCTGCCTCTCTATCATCATCAATAATGATCTATCATTCGACCACTTTCAGGACAACTTCGCTTAACAGCTTCTACGACTTCACAGCCCCTCCCTGGTTGAACAGGTGCCTTGGGGCAGGACTGCAATTATGGAGCATCTTCCTAACCTTTTCGCTAGGGGGCAGTCCTACGTCAAGGCTGAACTTTCTGATGCCCTCACCAGGATCCATATTGGGTTCGATCTGTGGACATCACCCAACAACTACGCCTACCTTGCAGTCACTGCCCACTTTCTCAACAGTGTGGGTCGGCATCAGTCCCGTCTCATTGCCTTCAACCACATGAGTGGCGATCACAGTGGGCTCAATATATCCAATAACCTCTACGAGACTCTTCAGGAATGGGATATCACTGGCCAAGTGGGTGTGGTTGTCTGTGATAATGCCAGGAACAATGATACCTGCATCTCTGCCCTCTTCAGGAGACTCGACCCTTCGATGGGTCAGGGTGACTGTCAGGCCAGGAGAATGCGATGCTACGGCCACATCCTCAACCTGGTGGCACGAGCTCTCCTTTTTGGTGCTGATCGCGAAGCCTTTGAGGCCGAGTCACTCTTCTACCAGACTGTCCAACAGGAGGAGGAAGATCTGAGACTGTGGAGGAAGACTGGGCCGGTTGGCAAGCTTCACAACATCGTCAGGTTCATCAGGGCTTCCCCTCAACGATCTGAGCGATTCAGGAAAGCAGCCCAAGAGTTTGATGCTGGGTCAGATTTCGAACTGTTCACCCAGGGGTCTCAGGAGTCAAACCTCCTCAACAACGAGACGAGATGGAATTCCACATACCTCATGATCCGTCGAGCTCTCCAGAAGAGGGCAGAAATGGAGACCTACATCAACTGGGCCCAGGAGCAGGATGACGCCCATAAGAGAATACCTGATGATGACATCCTTTCTTCAGAGGACTGGAAAGTCTTGGTTGAAGTCACATCTATCCTTGAGCCTTTCTACCTGCAGACGAAGAGGACGGAGGGATGGGGTAGGGGGGATGGGCACGGTCGTCTCTGGGAGGTCATGACTGGCATGGAGTATCTTCTTGAACATCTTGAGAATTGGAAGACTCTGTATAATTCTGGTCTCCATCCTGTTGCTTTCCAGCAGGAAGAAGAGTCTACGATCGACCTAACTGCTGAGGATGACTCCCAACCATCACAGACTCGGTCAGGGCGTCCCATTCGATCGTCACTTGGCAGCCAGACTCAGCCTCATCAGGCATCTCTACTTCCGCAACATATAAGAGAGCACTCGAGTCAACGTACTGCTCGATTTCGGGGCCTTCCATCCGAATACCAAGAGCACCTCCGTACTTCTGTTGAGTTGGCCTGGCAGAAGCTCTCATCATACTACACGAGGTTGGAGGAGTCTCCCTTGTTTGCTGCTTCTGTTATTCTACACCCTTCACTCGGTATCTCATACCTTGAGGCAGTCTGGGACGAAGGGGTTCAGCTTGAGTGGGTTCGTGACGCGAAGAAGGGACTCAGAGACTACTTTGACCGTTGGTATAGATCAGAGGAAGTCTCTGACAACTCTAGGTCTGTTCTCGAGATCACACGCCCATCCCACGAAGACAGTCACTTCAGGCAGTGGGTACAGAGTAGACGTAGTTGTGAGACATCTAGACAACAAGATGAGCTTGAGATGTGCCTCAGGCAACCTCCCCAACCTACAGAGGATCCTATCAAGTGGTGGAGAGACCACCAGTCGACGTACCACCTCCTCAGCAAGCTGGCCCTTGATGTAATCGCAATCCCAGCCATGGCTGCTGACTGTGAGAGGGCGTTTAGTACTGCTAAGTTGACCCTGACGTCACAAAGGCACTCAATAAAGCCCAAGATAATGGGTCAGCTACAACTGATGAAAAATTGGCTGAAGGGGAATGTTATACCTGTTGGGGTTGAAGTTGGTACATTCATGACATCGTGACCAGTTGTGAATAGCTTCACGTATTTCCTAATCGGGTAATCGGTGCTAGCGTTGTCTGGTCACGTGTTGCATGGATTTGATTTGACACACTGGCCAATAAGCCAAATTAACCAATACTGGCGAAGAGGCAGTCAAATCAGCTAAATCTTGGCGTTATTTGATTTGATGGCTTTGACGGCAGCGCTGATTCGCATGCAGCCAATGGAGAGATGCCTACTTGAGGGAAAGGATACCGACAAGGCATCATCAATCAGGAGCAAGGCATCATCAATCAGGAGCAAGGCGTTAGCCAGAAGAGGGCTATGAGTAAAGGGGCAAGCATGTCTTTAGTGTTGCGTTGCCGATGCAAACATTATACAGCTTGGTTCCTATTCCAGCAAGAGCCTAGAGAGCCGGTAATGAATGCAGGGACAAAAAATTTGAACTGTAATCACTTTGTGGTAATTTCGAGACCAGTTGAACGGAAAACCTCCTCGAGTCGCAATCCACGGGCCATATTTCTTCTTGTCTGACTAGGGATCATACGATTTGTTCTGGGATTCCAAGACGCGTTTCCGAGTCTCAATCTTCACCTTCTCTCGCCAATCGTTGTTTAGACTTTGCCAAAGTTTCTCTCTAAGTTATAGTAGGTACTAAACATTATTAATCTAGTAAGCTTTAATAGGCATTTAGATCGGCTGGATATTGAAAACTTCGTACAAACCACACTTCTTAGGGTGGTCAAGCTTGAGTCCTGCTTCCTTCATCGCCTTCCAGCGGAGTTTTTCAGAGTTCAAAAGATGTGCACCTTGGCTTATAGGATCTATTGGCAATGGTCTTGCCCAATATCCGTCTTCCTTGCGACAGATGCCCTGTCACAAAAGCCCCAAGATGATTTCCTTAAAGGCTAGCTGTGATGACAAAAGCGGATCCGTAATTGCCACTGCGCAATTACGGCTTATATCACGACACTAGCTAAAACTAGTTAGCAGCCTAGGCTTACAAGACCTTAGCTGCCACCAAAATACTGTATATCCTGACTCCCTTCTCTGTAGTTCTAATTACCTGCTTAGTGAACAGGACAGACTAGCCCAACGGCCCTGGCACGCTTGCTACAAAGAACCATTCGTGGCCAAATACAAGAATACCTAGGAGGAAGCTGAGCCTTTGGAGGCTGTGGCCCTCTGCAAGTTCACGTAAATTACGCCATTAGCACATGTACTATATGCCCATCTAGAGAATAGCCTTCTTCTGCTCTTTAATTAAACATTTAGTACTAAGCGAGGCGAGCCTATGAGGGAGAGTCTAACCAAGAGCTTAGGTAGGTTAGGCAAGTAGTATTTAATCAGAAACCTTATCTTGTGTTGAGTACCGAGCATTACACCTTTATAGATTTTTTGTTACTGTGTGTAGATCTAGCTTAACTACTCTGTTTACATCCTTGACGCCAGCTACAAGATTATGCCTGCTAGGGTTCTCGTCAAGATCCTTGTCGGTGGAGCGGGTGTGGTCGCTGGATACAGCCGCCATGAGCACGCCGTGGTTCACAACGGTATCTTCCGCGAGCATCGTACAGCTCACAGGATAAGAGACGTAGGGGCCTGAGTCAGTCGAGGAGTACCCGCCAATTGAAAGCAAGGACACGAGTGGCTACATCTCCACCAAGTGGGCTAGCGAGAGATACCCCGAGAAGATCAGCGACAAGTGTGAACTGCCGATCCGTATTTACCGGCCCTTCTCTATCAAAGCGTAAACTGTCGACCCGTATTTACCGGCCCTTCTCTATTAAAGGACGGGCCAGCCAGCGAGCCGGCGAATTGATACCCAACCTGATGTACAGGGTGGCAGGGGTAAGTTACTGTACTTACCCCTATAATGTTACCCTATAGCTAACATCAAAATAGAGGGGGAACATTCACCAAAAGTGAAGTCCCGCAGTAGGGGTGTAAGCATTAGTTACCTAACAGGGGTAGTCAACTTCGGCCTGGTACCACAAGAGACCATGTCTATGCCCGACTTCAGGGGCTTGACTTTATCACGGCAGAGACAGCAGCGGCACTAGAGGTAGTCAACAAGGCTTACAAGGACTACTCGTGGTCAGGCAGTGTTGCATGCTCGTACCAGAGCGGCCTGGAGATAGTTCCTCTGACCGAGCTGAGAGCTACGCTGGAGCGCGAGACCTGTTGCGAGTCCGAATTGCTGAAAATGGATGACTGGGCGACCTGAGCTGAGTCCAAGGGGATGAGTGTGTTGCTTGACAGTTATCTACGGAATGCGTCCCACGTTCCCGTTACGTTAACCATGTTACAAGAGGGAGAGGCCTAGTTTTGATGTTACGGAAACGTCAAAATTAGTAATGTTGAAGTCAAAAGCCCATAGCAGGCACGGTCCAACAATGTCAATGGATGTGCAAGCCATCAGCTGGCCCAGGCCAAGTTAGTGATCCGAGGCGATCTATCCCTCTTAAGGTCGCGCAGGTACACAATGATAGTGGTACAATCGGAAAAATACACCACAAGCATCATGCCTGATACTCAACGCTACAACAAAGTGTCCACTGGCCCGGACGAATGCGGTGGCCACTACCTGAAGCAGGGTTATCATGCCGAGCCGGCTTATCAACGACACCCGTCCTTGGGTTCTCCAAGATGCAGGATGATCGGAGTAGCACTCGACACGGCACATGAATCAGGTACTATGAAATAAGATGGCGCCCATGCGGTGCTGCAACCCTTCGAGAACGTTATCTTCGGTCATCGAGTAAGGCGGGGCCGACCGGGGCTACGGGGTAAGAGTTGTCCACCCGGCGAGGCCGATGGCCCAGCCCCAGCTGTCTCCGCGTCGTCGGCTTAAGCCATCTTACCGGGATACTTGGTGCAGCGAATGATGAAGTGCCAAATCGTCATGTGCGCTGTGTCGGATAAGAGAATGCCCAAGGGGTTAGAGGTTGGGCACACCGATCGGCACCCTGTCGTCTCTCTCCTTTCTGAAACCTATCTCTCGCCCAGTTCGTCCAATTATTGAACAAGGCCTGCTGGTATCGTCGCTTGGTCGCGAGCTTGAGCACGGGGAACAGGTCGACAGGGGGCGCCACTGAACGAGGATGTCGACGCAGCGGCGGTGAGCAGCCATCTGATAGAAACGTGTGTCGCACCGGGATGAACAGTTCCCACGCTCAAATTGCCCGGCGTGTTTTCATAATCTTGTGGAAGACCTGTAATGACCCGATATCGCATCCTCTTGCTGCGTACTGACTTTATCAGCTCACAGTCTCATCTACGTACCTCGATCTAGTAACTTATACTGTGAGTAATGGCCATTAGGTATACTACTAAGGCTTTTAGGTATTCCTATGTCCTTACAATTATCCTGAAAGCCTATCCTCGTTCTTGTTGCTCTAAAAAGGGACGAGTGGTGCATTAGAGTTTAATATTATAGTTTTATTATGCTTGGCGATGACAGACGCTTTACCATATCTAGTTAAGTACCGGCATATCTTTCCTCGGCTATTATTAAAAAAGGGACCAAGCTTATGCCCCATAAATGTGCATTAACACTTCCTTTATTCAGCCCTCCTTACATCACTAAGTGCACTCTTTAGAAAACAAAACAGCTTAGAAAGAGAAAATGCAACACAGATACATAAAAGGAAAAAGAGAAACATGCGTAGGGGCTATCAAGTTAGGTTCAGTGTCAGGAGTAAGGTATGTGTTCTTCAGGATCCAAGGGGTTGGAGCGGTATGAGGGAAGTATTGGTGTGTACGGACCAAATAGCCGGGCGTCATGGTATCTACTAGAGACATGACTAGCGTGAGACCCAAGACGATGGGCAACTGGAGACTGAGAAGCGAGAAAGGTAGTACCCAAGACGGGACCTACATGATAGATCCTGACCATTGGAAACATGCAGTGACAGGTAGCGAAGCGGTGCAACAGGGTATAGGTATTGTTAAGGCACTTCTTATTGGTAGATCCATGTACGATGGGCAATACGTACTGCAGCTCTATCCGATGTTCTCGCAAGTAATCGGACATTGATGCCGAGACAAAGATACTGAGTTTTTTTGAGGCTATGATTTCCACGGCACCAACAGATTTCCTACGGATGGGTACTATGCGTGATTCAACCTGCATTTCCTTAACTATACGGATCAAAGAAAGCCCCCTACATGACTGAAAATCTCGTTGCCAACAGCAGCGCCATCAAGAAAGTTAGCGAGTGGTCAAGTTGACCATGAGCGTCCCCTTCTGCCACAACAAGAGATTGGGCTGGTCGATCCAATCTTCGCGCTCGCTCGGGTCAACCTCGAGGTGGAAGTTCCAGAGCAGGCGACCTATCAGGATACCCAGTTCGGCACGAGCCAGTCTACAGAGAATAGGAGTCAGCCGCGATCTCAACCCCCAGGTTTAGGTAGATGCTGGACGGTGTCAAAACTTACTGTCTGCCAATGCAAGCGCGCATTCCAAAGGAGAAGGGCATGAACACATCCTTTCTGTCCCCGTCATACTCCTCATCACCTAGCCATCGCTCTGGGTGGAATTCATTGGGATTCTTAAAGTTGGCAGGGTTGCGGTACGTTGACCACATCCACATCGTGAGGATGGTACCGCCAGGCATGAATTCTCCAAAGACGTTTTCGCCGGGCTCGGGCACGACGCGCGGCATGGCGGATCCGGCGGGCGGCAGCAGGCGCAAGGCCTCGTCGATGGCGGCGTTGAGAACCTTGAGCTCCAGTGTGGCCAGCCCGACAATGTCGTTATCGCTCGCGAACGCAGCCCGCATCTCGTCGGCCACCTTTTGCGCCCATTCGGGATGCTTAGCCAAAAGGTAGGTCGCTGTCGTCAAGCCGACGGCCGTTGTGTCGTAGGCGGCGCTCATGAGGATCTGGGCGTTCCATTGGATTTCGTCGCGTGTCAGGGGCTGTTCGAAATGTCTGTTACATGCATTATTCAACCAAAAGTAGCACGAAGAGAGTCTCACCTCCTTCTCGTCGCTATTTCCATGAGATGCCAGCGCGCGGATGAAGTCGGGTCGATCGGCCTCCAGCAAACGCCTGTCGACGAGCCGTCTGGTGGAATTGACGTTCGCGTCCCAGCGCTTCTGCAGCGGCGAGTTCTTGGCTATCAGCTTGAACAAGGGCGTCACGAGAGGGAAGCGCTGAGTGGCCTTGGCGTAGGCATGTCCCGTGTGTGCCTCGTTGAAGAGCTGGGTCCAGGGATGATACTTGCCCGTGTTGAGGCAGTCGAACGAGTCGCCGAAACTCAAATCGCTGGCGATATCGGCCATAGCAAAGTCAAACCACTCGCTGATATCAATGGCCTTTTGGCCCTGCGCCGCAACGTGGCTATGGAGCACCCGGAAGCTGCCGTCGAATATCAAATGTCAGCAACATGTAACTTTCAAGAGGGCTGGGGGGAGAAAAGACTCACAAGTTGTCGACGTGTTTCTTGATGAAGGGAGACTGCTCTGCAACAGCAGTTCCCGTGAATCCGGGGGCCAGAATGCGGCGGAAGCGCGTGTGCTGCTTCTTGGGACAGCCGAGGATGCTGGTGACAGCCTCGGCGTAGTGGATGTCATCCTTGGGGATCTCGCCCAGCTCCGTCTTACGCCGGCCCCAGACCTCGCGCCACATGGCGGGCGAGCACACCGAGAGCTCGCCAGGCGCGATACGCACAATGTCGCCGTACTTCTTGTGCAGTTCCAGAACCGACTTGTGTGCCCGCCCGTTGACAAGCTCCCACGAGTACATGAGGCGCGTAGCGCCCCAGGATCGTGGGCCAGGGTACCGCCTCAGCGGGTGGAAGTAGAGATTGTAGACAAGGCTGAGGATGAAGGTGATGACGAGAGTCGCGCCTAGAAAAAGCGGTATAGACGCCGCCATCGTTGATGGTGCCAAGCCCGTGATGGGCCAGAGAAAGTCGAAGGCAGCCATTCCTGTTTGCTGTCAAATCAAGTCTGTTGTTTGAACAGCTGAAGGGGACCCTCGAAGTACTTGGGACAGAGTACAAATACTATCGACAAGTGAATCTTATCTCTAGCCAGAAAATCCGTAAGATTCGTAACTGTCTTTTCTATTGTTAGGATGCCCTATCATATATAGATAAGGGTACTAGGTATCCACTGCGGCAAAGTCAACGTATGGGATAGTCTCACTGTCTTGTGAAGCCACGATATCAAGGGTAGAGTACCGTGGGCGTTGTACGTGGTATGAGGAGCGTGAATTACAACGATGACCGCAATATTTGAGACATGAATCACCTATCGGCCCACCCCGAATGAAGCATCAAAAGCTTTATAGTGGATCCGCTAGATTCTTTGGGGAAACCGACAGCGTACTGAGTAAGTGAGTGCCTTTAAAGGACCATGGTAGATGAGCCGACTGGGGTCTCATGTCTGAGATAAAACCAGGTTTCCTGACGTTGCCGAAAGCCCCATAGATTGAGTGCAGGCTCACGAGTCGGCAAAAGCCAATGCCATCACAGATGATATAGATTCCGTAGACGCCAAATAAGCTGTTATGGGGCGTTCATGTACATCGAGGGGTCCTTTGTACCGTCCTCCTCCAGGGTTGTATGAACAGGGACAAGCAATCAAGGGTATCAATGACTAGCCAGATAAACGACGTAACGTTTAGACCTTGACATGCATTTTGTTAATGTGACAGAATGTCGAGTGCGATGTAGGGAAGCCCCGATTGTAAGAGTCTAGATATAAGCAGTGACTTGATTGTCTTGCATCTTTAGAACGAACCCGGCGAGTCTCACGTTTTACCTGTTAGATTCCCACATTGTTAGACGTATTCCAACTATCATGCCGTACTTTTCTGTACCCATCCCAGAATCGCTGATTCAACGGTCTGGCTCCCATACCAGGTTTCCAACAGTAAGGCACTGTAATTATGAAATATGCACAAAGGCAGCGGAACAGGTGCAGGCCGAGTTCAACCAGGCCATGGACACAGAAATCATCACCAACGTGAGTAGAAACAATGGGAGAGGATATGAAGCAAAGACTAATCCGATGTCTAAGACTGTCGCCCCAGTACCGGGTATAGGGCGGTTACACGCCGTCGCCTTCACGATTCCCAACTGTTTGCCAGAGCGCCTTCCGGTATTGACCCGGTTCGCCGAGTTCACGATTCTCAATGACGACTTTTACGACATCGCCAAGAACGAAGATATCCACAAGACCAACGACGACATCCAGAGCGTCCTCAATGGCGCCATCGAGTCGTCGAGGTCCATAGAGTCGAACATGACAAAGTCAAAACAGTTCCAGTCCAGTTTGATCCTGGACATGGTCAATATAGACGCCGACCTCGCCATGGACATCATGACGACGTACAGCAAGGGCCTTGACCTGGCCACCTTTGCGCCCGACACACTCAAGACGCTGGACGACTACCTTCCCATTCGCATGGTGAACTCGGGTCTCGAGTGCGTAGTATCCCCCAATGCCTACTGGTTCGACCTTTGCTAACTCCTGCAGCGTCTTCCAAACCATGAGCTGCTTCGGCATGGGAATAAAACTCAGCGCCGAGGAGAAAGAAAAGCTCAGCGAGTTCGTCAACACGGCCATGTTCTCCACGACGCTCATCAACGACCTCCACAGCTGGCCCAAGGAGGTCAAGCACCACATCGAACACCCGGGGTCTGAGTACCCCTTCAACGCCGTCGCCATCCTCATGCGACACGGCGGCCTGTCGGAAGCCGAGGCGTTCGTGCGGCTGCGCGAGAAACAGGCTGAGCTGCAGGAGCGTCATCTCGCCCTGCTGAGGGCTCTCGAGGCGGCCGGACCGATCCCAGAGAGCCACATGCTCTACATCCTTGCGGCGCAATACGCGGCTTCCGGTTCAGAGTTCTGGAGTGTGCATGTGCCGCGATATCCATCTAAGAAGGATTTGGCACAGCCCGATGTAGAGTTTGTTGATGGCGTGTTCCTCTATCGGACGGGGCCTGCAACCGCCGATATAGATAGCGTCCCGCGACCTGTATTGGCCGAGGAGACGGTTGCTACGGAATGTGCTGGTCTCACCAACGGCCACACGAATGGCTCCGTCAACGGCCACACTAACGGTCACGCCAACGGCTACACCAACGGCCACACCAACGGCATCACCAACGGCATCACCAATGGCCACACCAACGGCCACACTAACGGTCACGCCAACGGCCACACCAACGGTATCACCAATGGCATCACCAATGGCATCACCAACGGCATCACCAATGGTCACGCTAAGCATCATATCAATGAAAACTCAAAGGAAGAAGAAACACTGGCTGTCAAGTATCCAGAGGATGTGCAATGCAGATCAGAGGTGAGTAGTAGCACCAAAGTGAAAGACAAAACCGATTGCTGACTCTCTATACACAGCTGGTGTTGGCGCCTTACAAATACCTCACATCCATGCCTTCCAAGGGCATCCGGGAGCTCTTTATAAGGGCCCTGAACTGGTGGCTGAACGTCCCCGACGACAAGCTCGCGTGCATCCAAGACGTGGTCAGCTATCTCCACCAGTCGTCCCTCATGCTCGACGACATCGAGGACGGCTCCAAGCTGCGGCGCGGCCAGCCTTCCACTCATGTCGTCTACGGCATCGGCCAGACCATCAACTCGGCCAACTTCGTGTTCGTCCAGGCCTTTGCGCGCATGCAAAGCTTGGGGCGCGGAAGGGCCGAGGCCATCGACATCTTCGTTGAAGAAGTTGAGAACCTGCACAAGGGACAGAGTTATGATCTCTTCTGGAAAGACCAGGTCCACTGCCCTTCGGTCGACGAGTATTTCATGATGATTGATAACAGTGAGCAACCCCGTCCTCCCGGCCAAACCAAGCTTTGTCCCGAGTTCTGACCAACCTGTGTTATTTCAAACAGAGACCGGCGGCCTGTTCCGCCTGTGTGTCCGGCTGATGGAGCTCTTCGCCACCGGGTCGACCAGGGGCATCAGCTCCGAGTTCTTCGTCAAGAGGCTGAGCCGGTACTTCCAGATCCGCGACGACTACCAGAACCTCATGTCGGACCAGTACGCCAAGGAGAAGGGCTTCGCCGAGGACCTGGACGAGGGCAAGATCTCGCTGCCGCTCATATACACGCTGCAGTCGTCGCCGTACCGGGACGCCATCTCGCGCATCTTCAAGCGCAGAGACGACGGCGGCGAGATGGGGCTGGAGACGAAGGTCTTCATCATCCGCGAGATGCGCAACACGGGCGCCCTGGACAAGACGTACGACCTCTTGCGGTCGATGCAGAGCGAACTCATGGACGAGCTGAAAAGGTTGGAGAAGGCGTTCGGGGCCCCTAATGCGTCGTTGGAGCTGGTTTTGAGAAAGCTGTGGATAAACTAAGTAAGCACTTTATGATTTATACGGAGTACGGCGTATGCACTGTGGGTAAACTGTAGATAGGAATATCATACTTTACATTTCAATGACTGTCTTGGTCAACTGGTCCTGATTTACAATCTGCACTAAGGCAATTCTTGGCCTGTGAACTACTACATCATCTTGACTCCTATCACCACTGCCCACCGCTATAGAAAGTGAAATTCTTCATGTCGCTGGCCTCCCCTGCCCACTACCGAATCCCATCCATGCCGGTTGGGCTAGGGCCTACAACCGTCGTTGCCAGATCCATCATCGGCACGCAGGCGGCAGCGGGTCCTCGACTCGGCGGGAGGAGGCAATGGAGACCGCAGATATATCCTTTGCGAGGAGAAGCCCGTTGCGGTGGCAGCTCTCCCCCGGGTGACCGATTCATCGTTTTTGCTACTCCGGCTTGGTCCTGCGTCGCCGGCCGGTTAGCCAACAACACTCTCCTCCGTCCGTCCAACCCTCCTCCGGGACTCACCACTCTCTCTTCCCCTTCCGAATCCCCTCTTGAAAAGCACCACACACAATTTCTCCCCCTCCAAGACTTAACAACCACACCTGACTGCTCCCCCTCCCTCTTGTGACGACGAAGGCAACGCCTTAAACCTCCCGCATCCGCAACGGTGAACTCCCCGCCCCCTTCAGCCAAGGAAACCCAGAGACAAGGTTCCCCAACCTCTCAGGCTTGGTACCATTATGCCCATCCCATTCCATCCCATCTCCCCTCTCTCCAAAGCTGGGAACCCCCTTCCGCCAGCCTTGTTGACTGTTTGTCTCCACCAGACAAAGCACCCCCCCGGCACGCGGCGAGAGAAGCGACTGGTCCATCGACCGGCCGTCGCCCCTACCGCGGAAACATTAAAGCTGTTTGGTTCATGCGTTGGAGGGTTAGGCTCAGTACCTCGGCTCCCACTTGCGGGGAACATCCTTGCGTCTCGACGGCCCGGGAGCTCGAAATTCTGGGATGACCTTCTCTTGGTGGAACGTTTTCTGCACGGTCTTTGACGATGGCCGGACTGGCTCGTCACATATGGACCCTGCTTTTGGGTATTGATTGCGATGATGGTGATTACTCTTGATTTAGCGTTCCCGTCTCCCGTTGCTCGGCTGTCTATGTCTGCTTAAGCCATGCGCATGCTATGTGGTATCATGTGTTACAGGTTTCCTATCCTAACCAAGGTTTTTTTGGTGCAATGTGGAATGTCATAATCCACGCAAAAAAACCGACGCGTTGACGCTCTCTTCCCGGCCACGTCACCGCCAGCCACCGCCCCTTGCAGGCGTCCCATTACCCATCTAGCGCCTTTTTTCAATGCTCCCACAATCATGAAACTCGCGACAAATGAAATCAGTAGTCTTACACATTACTTGTTCTTACGACGCTGTCGTAGCTCCGTCTCCTGATTCTTGGGTACTTGCCGCCGCAGGCAAGGTCTCGGTGGAAGCTCACAAGAATCCCAGCATGACGAGAGCCATGGCGGGCAAGCCCCATGCCAAGCCTCCAACCGTTGTACTTTCTGCCCCGTTCATAAGCAAAGCGTCGAGGGGATTAACCGAAGGCTTTTTAGAAGTGGCCCGGGGTGCTGATTCGGTCCGGGTCGTGGTTGCAGGAGTGGCACTAGTTGTTGCCGGAGGCGGAGGCGGCGGCGGCGGTCCTGGCGGTGCCGGGGTGTTTCCCGGCGGTGGTGCTGTAGTCGGTGGTGGTGGCGGAGGGGGAGGCTGGGCCGGTGTTGGTATTGATGTTGTAATCGGTGGCGGCGGAGGTGGAACGACTGGAGTGGAAGATGCCGGTGGCGGAAGTGGCGGCGGTGTTGGTGGTGGTGGTGGTGGTGGTGGCGGCGGCGGCGGCGGCGGCAAGACGGTGCTGGTCGGGGGCAGTACAACCTTCGTAGTGCTGGACCTGATGGTCTGTGCCGGCGATGATGTTGGTTGATTTGTGACACCACAGAGAAAGGTGGCGAGATTTCCTGCCAGTGCTTGTCCAAGTACCGTGTTGGACTGCACCTGGACAGACCCGCAAACTTGCTGGAGGGTGCTTTGCTTCTTCGCCAACCCACGGGTACACTGGGCCGAGCATGTCCTCCTGCTGTCAAAGTCGGTCGTTTCGCATCCGCTGAGGGGAAGGTTGTAGACCAACAGGCATCCGAGAGGCACGGAAAGATCAGCGATGAGCTGGAAGTTGGACAGACTGAGCGATGTGTCTCCGATGCTGATGATGGCGGCGGAAGCGACCGCGGCGGCGGATGCAAAGAAGACGAGCTGGGTCAGGCGCCCCCGAGGGGGTTGGGATATTGAGTTTTTCATGCCTGGGCGGTGTTGGTCGACAAAGTCGACTGGAAGTCGTTTTCGGGCACAGCCGCCTTTGGAAGTCGTTGGTGAAAGTTTCGCTCTCCTTTTCAGCGGGTAATCGAGTTTGAAGATGTCGTCGGTTGTTAGTGGGTAGTGTTTGGCGGCAAAAGGTCGAATCGTCGAGAGGCCGGCGACGAAACGGCCAGGAATATGGTGGAGGAACAAAACCAACGGACCAGGATTTGGCCGGGAGGCGCTTGGCTTTTGGGAGAGGGAATGACAGCAGCGCGACGACAGTCAAGGCTGAGGGCCTGAAGAGTCGAAACGTATTGCGTGTCAGAGGATGCCGGGGATGACGGCACGATCGGCTGAAGAACCACGTCAATGCGGGTCACAGGGCCGACAGGGTCTAGGTGAACCAGACGGCCGGCTCTAGTGAGATAATTCAAGGGGTCTTCTTAATGGCGGCGCAACAAAGCCGAGGGGGAAACGGTGGCAGATGGCGATTGTCCAGAGAGGGCGGAGACCTTGTCAGGCGATGGACTCAGCCTAGGTCTAGGGTGTGGAGTGGGCTATCTGGATTGCAGAGAGAGAGAGAGAGAGAGAGAGAGAGAGAGAGAGAGAGAGAGAGAGAGAGAGAGAGAGAGAGAGAGAGAGAGAGAGAGAGAGAGAGAGAGATATGGCGATGCTGCCGGATGTGGAACATGCGCCGGCGGTCCGAGGATAAGGACAATCCGAGCTTCTTTGCTCAGCAATGGACAGGGGGACGGGCGAGATAATGGTGATGATGGTGCACCGTCGGAAGGGGAAAGACGGGAAAGTTGAAGGGATGAACGTGGCCGACCCGTATCAACGACAACGGCGGTAGCGGTGCCAATGGATCGTGATGTTTCCTCAAGGGACGAAGTGGTTGGACGAGCAAAAAGAGGACCTGTTCCGACGGACGAGGCCAAAGGCAGAAGCAGAGCCAGAGCTAGAGGTAGAGCCAGGGGCCGGATTAGATGAAGACGAGGAAGGGGTAGGCGATGGGGAAAAAAAGGTTTGGAAATGGTCTTGGCGCCGTTGAATGGATGCGACGCAAATCGGACGGGTGGTGTGTGTTCGACGACAACCAGGGAGAAGTCTGACGCAGCGCGGCGGCCGTTGAAGGGAAGCAGGTAATGGCGTCGGCGATAGGTGTGCTACTACGAATACCTCGACTTGATACGCAGTACGGAGAGGGATTGCAGGTAGTAGGTAGGCATCGACGATGCGAGAGTGTGTCAAGGAGACGACGACAGGCGGCTGCGTGTGGTGGCTTCGGCGCGGGACCGGTTGACAGCAGGGAGTGCCGAGTTGCCCGGAGAAGCAGGAAAAGAGCTCGAGGGGCGACAGGAGGTGGTAATCAAACGGAGGATGGCTGATCCTTTTTCGATGCGGGAGGGCGGCGAGGATCTCCAAGGCTTATGAAACAGAGTTGCTGCCACTCGCGGGTCAATGACACCCAAAACACACTGTTGTAGCCGTTTGATGTCGGGGGAGCTCACCGAGTCCGGGGGTGGGCATGTAGACAGACCACCACACTGGGAGAGGGACGAAGGGTCGATTGAAATGGAGACGACGGCGAGGGATGAAGATAAAGAAGAGGAAGAGATGACTAGAGAGAGACAGAGAGAGGAAATAGAAACGGGTTACGGGATGGGGGAAAAGGAGGCAGTCGACAACTTGTTTTCTTCTTGCCGCCTCCTGCCTCGTTGGGGCAAAGATGCCCACCAGATCCAGATCGTGCTTTCCATCTCAGCCAACGGGAACGAACACACCAGCTGCATCGCTCGCTATGCCATGCGCGATTCGCGAGTCGATTCCGCCAGAAGCTCACCAATGCACTCATGCATCAATCAATCTAGCAATCAACTAACAAGGACAGACATACATACATACATTCATCCATTAGCCCCTGCGCGCTGCTGCCACAGCCGCAGCCCCGTGCCGCAGTCCCATCCAACCGCCGTGGCGACATCTGACAGGTCTCCCGCGGTCTTCGAACGTGTACTATAAGTGGACTAGGATGGAGGCGCCCCTTGGAACGGGAGAGACGCGGGATTGGTCCGGGGGGGGGGGGAGAGACGACTTTCTGACCTCTTCCAGCTCCGTGGTTGACTCGATGAAAGGGGGAAGATAAAAGAAAAAAAAAAAGCAAGGTAAACCCCCCCTGGTTTTCAGAACACACGGACGCGGTTGGCCACGAAGGGAAGAAGGAGCGCAGAGGCCAGCGAACTAACAAGGCGGACAGAGTGAACCGATAGGACCCGGAGAGAGGAGAGAGACCGACGCGTGACGGAGGATGAAAGAATGAAGGCGGGTAACGGCAACAATCGAAACCGTTAGGGCGGTTTGAGGTCGTGATGCAGGTTGCCCCCTGTGGGTCTGTGATTGGGCTGGATGCATGTTGCAAGGGGAAGCTACGAGCTGCGAGCTTACCTATCCCGATCCGTACCTACCTTCCCACAACACAGGCAGGTAGGTAGGTACCAAGACTGATTGCACTTGCGCTTGTTGCACTTACAGTACTTGGCAGCCACGAGCAGCTTCCCCAACTGGCAGCAGCACACAGCTAAACCGGAAGGAGAAATCCACGTGAAACCCCGCCACTGCTGCCTCTTCAGATTCATGCTGTATGTAGTACGGAGTATAGTTCCAATTGATAGGCATGAACAGAATGGGATCGGTTGGTTGCCAATTGATGGCCAGCAGCCATGATGTGTATCTGATTCGGTCTGCATAATCCATCTTTACTGTGCCAGAAGACTCCAATTATCCGTTCCCTTCCCACCAGCCAACCGTTCATCTCTTCTCGTCTTGTCTCGTCTCCCCCCCACTTACACGCAGCAGTTCACGAGTCGTCAAAATTCGAGGATCCGACGCCACGTTTCGACACCCGGCACCCTTACTCGTGGCCTGCACTGGCCACCCCCGCCTCTCATCCTCACTCTCAACCCCTACCTACTTTCCAATCAGGTCACTTACTCGCTCTCTCGCCAGATCTCGTTAGACCATTCGGCCATCACCGAGAACGTCGTATCTATAGGGCTTCATATACTCGCCCCTTTTTGCCTTTGAAGATGACCATGGCGCTGGGTCACAGTCGTGACACCCCCCGCCTCCGCATGTTCCCCGGACACGGACCACAGCCTCACGCCGGCTGACGTTCCCCATAGGCGATGCTGGGAAAACGTGAGCTGTGACACGAACCATCCTGCCAAGCGGGCGGAGGCATTTGTGCCCCCGTCTAGGTGGGTATCACCTAGCTCGCGGCCCTCCGCACGAAGCGGAAAATCCCCTGTCATTGAGGCTACAAGTAGATGAAGAAAAAAAGAAAAGGTTTGATGTTCATGTGTAAAATCAATGCATATACTGTACGGAGTACTACTAGCCTGCCGCTTGCAGGTCTCATTAAACTGCAATCGAGCCTGGTATCGCCAAATCCCAATGCTGAAACCCTTAAAATAAGAAACGGGAAAAAAAAAGGCCAGGAAGCCCCCGCTGGACGCCGTTCATACAAAGTAAGTCGCCGATTCAACCCCTCTCACGCCCCGACCCTGGCGTGGCCGTTGGCGGGCTTCTCCCCCTCCTACTCCTCCTCGCCCTGGCCCGCGCCCTCGGCCGTCGCCGCGGTGTCGCCGTGCGGGTACAGCGGCTTGTCGGGGTCGTAGCCGACCGACTTGACGATCCCTAGCCCCTTGGTCCTGCCTTCCCGGAATAGCAACCGGTCGCCCGGCGCGAGGTATTCGGGCCGCTGGACGAACCGGAACGCCACCGTCGCCCTATCGCCCGTCCGGATGTACGGCCGGTCGACGTCGATGATGGCGCACGTCTGTGAGACTGGCCCGACGTGCAGCATGGCCTGGTACTTGGTCTTGATGGTGGTGGCATGGGACAGGATCAGGACTATAGACAAGACAGCGGTCAGTTTTCGGTGCTGTGGCGGGCCACCCTCTCCCTTCCTTTATTGTGGCATGACTCACCTTCCGCAATGAACTCTCTGTGCACCTTGGGCGCCGGCTGCCCCTCGATCTTGGGCAGAACCACCATGCCCTTTCTGACGTCCTTGCGACGGACCTTCTTGAGCGCGAACGATGCGGACTGCCCCGCCGACGCGGCCGGCACGCCGAGCCGCTTGCGCTCGATCGAGCGGATGCTGGTGGCCGTGAACTGCCCCAACGAGTCGGGCCCGACGAGTACGTTGTCCCCCGCGTGGATGACGCCCGATTTGACGATGCCCGAGACCACCGTGCCGACGAACGGCACCGAGAACGTGTCGTTAACGTGGAACTCGAAGGGAGCGTCCGAGTCGTAGCGGCCGTGGTGCGGCAGGATGTTGAGGAACGTGCGGACCAGGTCGAGGTTCTCGCCCGTCACGTTGGACACCTGGAACACGGGGCATATCCTCTGGCTGATGAACTGCGTTGCCGTGTTGATGCACTCCTCGCGGTCCTTGATGAAGATGGGGATCTTGCGCGCCCCGGGACTCTTGAGGATCTTTGTTATCTGGTTGACCGTCTGGTCGAGGATCTGCGGCGGGCAAATGTCAATCTTTGTGATGACCACCATGACGGGCACGTTGAGCGCCAGCGCGATGCCCAGGTGCTCCTTGCTCATGCCGATCAGCCCATTGTTCGCCGCCACCATCAGCAGGCAGTAGTTCGGGCTGCTGGAGAGCAGCCCGAACACGGTCGTCCGCAGGTACTTTTCGTGGCCTGCCAGGTCGGTGAACGTGATGACTTTGGCGCTGCGCTTTCCAATTTCCTCCCACGAGAGTTTCCCTGTGCTCCGAGTTAGCACGACTTTGTTACCGTTGGGGGTAAGGGGGGGTGGGGTTCGGTTGTCACTACATACGTCCGGGGGTCTCAGAAGTGACCACTTCTCCGACCGTGTCGAAACCCAGAATCTCCATGCCCACAGAGCTGGTCCTGCCCGTCTCGATCTCATGCTTGTGTCGGAAGAGGTTCACCCGTGCTCGTCCTCTGCCGTCGTCGAGGTCGCCCTTGACCAGAACACCCAGAAGGGAGCTCTTGCCTGCGTCAACTGTGATGGAGCGTTAGTTCAGCTCTTTAAAATGGCACGAGGGGGGGGACGCACCGTTGCCTACTACAGCTATCCGCGTTTCAATTACATCCTCCACTGTTGCCGGGGCCTGGCGGATCATGATCTTGCCGCTGCAGTGGCTGTCCTTGCCGGTCTTGGCGCTCGGGGCCTCGACATCGCCGCCGACGTTTTTCGTGATGAGCGTGTGGCAGTCGGCCCGTATCCTCTTGGCCGCATCCTTCAGTCTTGTATGGGCTGCATTCCACTGGTCGAGGGACAGCCCCATGGATTCGCCGCTGTTCTCGAAGCCGAGTTCGAAGACGGTCTCCCCGTGGCCTTCGAGTATCCTCTCCTGGACCACCCTCTCCAGATCCCGAAGCGCGTCGTCGTCGGTCGCCAGCAGCAGGTCCTTCAACCGTACGTTGGGGGTGACCTCGGCCAGGTCGAGGTTGTCGAAGAGCTCGTCGAGTTCGGCATGCTGGTGCTCGGGGATGACGGTCACTCTTGTGGTGTCGGCCGGCTTGGAGCTCGGGTACCGGAGCGCCTGCTGCTTTTCGACGTACTCGGCGAAGTCGCTGAGGGCCTGGGACATTATGCGTCAGCGGGTGCCGCACGAGGATTGACTACTTGTCCGGATCATCAATGAGGGGAGGGGGTGTCTCGTACAGCCTCGCCTCTGCGCTTCTCGTGCGGTAACGACTTTATGTTCTTGCTCGTCATGGTGGGATGTTGGGAGCATTCAGGTGCGTATCCTGGTAATCATTGATGCGCGTCGAGGAGAGAGGTGGCGTGGCGAAAGATCAACTGGCTATAGATGTGTACAGAGTCCTGTACAGTGGAAAAGACGCGATAGGCGAATACAGTGTGTCGCTCAGGACAATTTATAGACGGGAGGCCAAAAAAAGGAAGGAAAAAAGAAAAGAATTCTTGGGTCAAAGGCTGACGTCGCGACCGTTGAAAACAAAAGAGTCATCGATTGACTCGAGCGGCGAAGTCAAATCATAGTGCGGATACTTGCGGCCAGGCCAGTCAGTGACAGTCGAAGCCACATTCGCTCCGCACCCGGACCCAAGAGATGACAGAATGCACCGCCGCTTTATCGAGTCTCTCTCTGCTTGGCAGGCGGCATCAAACTCGAACCAGACTTGCTGTTGACTTATGGTCAACAGTGTGACTCGAGAGATGCCGGTCAGATTCTTCGCCAAGGTCAACGGGTCTCTTGGATCTTGTTTCTGATCCTTCCCATTCAATTTTTTTTTTTAAACTGCACAAGCCAATACCTGGTAACACAGCATGTAGACGGACTGCCCACCATCGTTGGTCCCCGCCTAAAGCAGCGATGCAGACCCTGTTGTGAGCAATTCCGTGAGGTCTATCGATAAGAGCTTTGGCACGGACCAAAGCAAGCAGCAGCCGCAGCATCAAGCCGCCCGCCCACACTGCGGGACGAGCCCCGGATTCTGCCTTGACTAACAGTAACGCAATTATCGTTCGTTGCCAGTTCAAGGCCCCGCCGCACACATGATTTGGCACGCAGTTGTCCGACGGTCGAAGGCAGTAGGCAGAGCGGAAATGGCGCAGGGGCTACTGAGTGACCCAGCCCGTCAGTTGTTCGGGCCCATTGGCTCAAGTGTGGCTGGCCCAACCGCGTTTCCTTCGCCGCTGACGACCCTGAATGACGGTGGGAAGCTGGACGGGGGGCCTGAGGGTCCCTGTCACATTCGAGTCGCCCGTTCGGCGGCATGGCATGCCCCGCAAGCAGAGCCAGTAGACGAGTTTGAGCTTGAATATGCTCCATTGCTAGAAATTTCTATTCGAACGGCAAACAACGACTAGCTCGAGCAATCCTTAGTGCATGGTAGGTTCGCCCAAGTTGTTCCTCAAACCGTCGTTCCCAGGAGACCAGCGCTCCGTAGCCTGGCACCCTCCACAGCCGCTCCGATGGGGCATTTGATGCGATTCGTGGCGTGGGCGTCCAGTGAGATCTGGTGATGCGGGTATATGGAAGTCCAGACTGCGTCGACGTCCATGACCATGTGGCCGGGTTCGCACATTGCTCTGTTCTGGCAGGAACCGTGAACCTTGTTTGGACCGCGACAGACCAACGCATTCATTCCATTCGCAAGTGTCCAAAGCCGGTCTCATTTCGGGGTTCGTTGGTGATGCGAGCAGATGCGTCGTCTCGCATTGGTTACTTATGACGATGTGTGCGGGGAGATGAGCACCACGCTGTCGCCTGTGGAAACTGTTAGATCCGTAGACGTCAAATCGACCCGAGAAAGATCATACCTCGGACGAACAGCATCTCCGACTTCCTGCTGATCGTCTGCAGAGTTCCGTTAGCGTGCGGTGGCAGGCTGGACAAGGCGAGGTCCTCTCACCTTCACCTCCTCGTCCTCCTCATCCTCGTCCACCACGTAAATCGTCTCCTCCACCTCTCCTAGCACCAGGTTGCAATGGCTGTCGTATGCCTGTGAAGAAACGTTAGAGCATGCTCATTCGCCCGACTTGTCACGACGCATTGGCACTCACATGAAGTCGGCCCTTGAGTTCCCGATCGCCTCTGAGCTTGACAAAAACAACCTCATCGAGCAGGAGCTTGACGAGGTCGAGGGGCTCCTGAACGTGGGTGGTGTCTTCGCCGACGTCCGCCATGATGAGATGAGATGAGTGTCGGATTGGTGAGTAAGTGAGGAGCAGGGGGCGTGTGAGCGTAGGTACGGTACGGAGAGGCGCGCGTTTCTCGACGAAGACACAGCAGCTTGCTTAGCTGGGATGGCCGAGAGCAGTGGTGGGGCCAGGCACAGTTCAGAATTGTGCATTTTGCGTCGCCGGCTTTCTCGCCCTGTCATTGGCCAGGGCTCTCGGCACCGGCATGACAGATGTTCCGGCCATCAGCCCACAGTCGGGACGTACCACGCCACGGCAACCCGGAAAGTGGGCCGGAATGGGTCTTGCCCCAGGTTCAGCGTGGAGCTTCCCGCGCCGTCTAGGATGGCACGGTTGGGAGGAAGGGAGCAGGGCGGCCCCCCCCCCCCCCCCCCCCCCCAAAGCAGGCGCCTGCAGGGCCTTTATCAGTGTAGACGCCAGAGAGAGGGGAAGGAGGCCGGAGGAGGCGGCAGGAACAAGTTGGGTTGGGGAAGCTGTCTTGGCCACTGTCGTTGAGGCGCCATGAGTTGCGCGGTACGTGGTACGAGTTACATAGTATTACTACCTGAGCCACCTTACCTACCTATGTACCTCCTACCTTTGTGCCTCCTCTCAGTTGAAAGAGAGGAAGACACCTCCGCGTTTCTTGCTTTTCCTCCTCGCGTGCACTGCTTCCCTCCTTTTGCTACAGCTCTGCTCTGCCCCCCCCCCCCTCTTTGCTTGAGATGAACCCAGAATCTTGCTTTATTCCGTCATGATGTCTGCTGCGGAGGCCAATGGCCTTCGACGGCTACTTCCTCTTCGGATTTGCTCATTTCCTCGCGGCACCCATTCAAGGGTCTTGTCTGCTCGAATGCGGAGATTACCTCGGCAACATCGCGTCTTGTCCACGACGGCCTCTGCGAGTCCATCCGTCTCTCCAACAAAGCCGAGCCTCTCAACGAGAAGACTGTCCCGATCTCAACCCTTCAGCTCCGAAGCTCCCAATGCGTCTGCGAACAAGAGATGTGCCGATTCTCCCGAAACTCAGCTGGCCCATGTGCTCAGGGCGGTCCAGTCGCAGAATACCAACAAGATTCTTAGCGGTGTTGTGGCCCTCGCACGCCACCAGCATCAGATCCAGGTTGCGGACGCGTTGCACTCTCTCCCACCCACTGCCTTTTCAGCCATTGTACGTTCCCTGGACCCTTCCCGGGTCGGTCCCAGAAGTGATGCGACCCATGGCCTGCGCATCCCAAGTGGTCTCGGCCAGTTCAGCTCTGTCGCGTCCGTGGCGGATCAATATGGCGTTCGCAAGATCTACACGCACACCTTCCATGCTTTGCGCTCCCTGTTTGACCTCCGCTCCTACCACGGCAGCAGCCCGTCGCGGGCCGACTACGTGGTGCTCTTGAGATGCGCCGGCGCCGCTTCTGATTTCGAGGCCGCCAAGGCCATCTGGCACGGCGCAATGAAAGGCGATCCCGTCACCGATCCCAGGGACGGTTCAGTCTTTGCCGAATACTTCAAGACGCGATTCCTCACAGATCCGACCTACGCCCAGAACGATCTCGCCCGATTCCGAATGCGCCCGCGCAACATTGGCAAGAACAGGAAGAGGTTTGATCAAACTCGATTGCTTTGGCCTCTCGAGAAGCTACGATTGAGTGTCTCATCGCGCAAGCGAGACAGTTTCGGGCGCGCTCCTTGGTTGCCGACACACGACATGCACCGTCTTGTGAGCTTGCCCGCGCCTGTCAGACGGCTCCAAGGCTACGCCGAGAGAGAAAGGAAAGTAGTGGACGAGGAGTTTTACTGCGCGTACTTGTTGGCAAGTGCTCGTGCGGGTTCTTTCCAGGATATGATCGGACTTCTTTGGCGGACGTGGAAGATCAAGATTACAGATTTGCGGGATCACCGGGCAGCGGAAATCACCGGTGGCGTCCAGAGGAGTAGCCTTAACCCGTTGCTTCAGCCAACAGAGCGCCTGATTCACGGCATCGTGCAATCGTTTGGGTGCACAGGCCACGTCATCCTTGCGAAGAAGCTGATCATATACATATCTCAGCGATGGCAGATCCCCATACCACAAAGCTCCTGGTCTGCGCTACTGGAGTGGACGTATATCCTCTCTTCCAAACCCGCCAGCCAGGAGTGGAAGATAATGGGTGACGCCAACAGGATCATTCGTGCGGACGAGGTTCTCTCCCTGTGGCAAACCATGAAGAGTGAGCCCTATCTGGTGAATGTCGGCCTTCACGAAACCGATATATATGTCAAATCGTTGATCAGTGCCGGAAGGCCGGATGAGGCTTGGGAGGCCATCAAGCAGGGTTGCGCCGAGTACGACGTGCTGTGCGAAGAAGTCGAGCAAGCCCTGTTTGAATCCCTCTATCCCTCACCCCCGCCAGATTCGATTGCTCGGCATCAACAACTGAAAGCCAGGCAGCACATGGCTTGGTACACAATCCAAAACTGGTGTCAACAGTGGCTTCGCCAGACAAGCAAAAGGCTGCGGCACCGGGCGCACCTTGCGCCCCAGATCATTCCCCAGTTCGTAGGCGACTTCCACCGCTTCCTACCTGATCCCATCACGTACACGACCAACGGGGGGGTCGTAAGGATCGCAAATACAGACACGAATCAAAAGACCATGTGGGTGAGGCGCATCGTCCAGAGCCCGCCGACGCAGCGCCTTGCGCCAGACCCGAGCCGTCCCAGGTACGCCAAGCCAGCGGGCGGGAGCGATCCGGAGGAGCTGGTCCCCGTACTGACTCAGGCGGGCGACCCGGTCTACGAGAGCATGCCCATTACCATTCGGAAAACCATGAATAGGATGGTCCGCCAACGGCGGCAGGCGAGGTTCGGACAGGACGAGGGGTTTCTGCGCTCCGGCAAGGCGACGGCGGAGAGTGACGCAGACATGGATGAGGCGGACGCGGACAGATTGGACGCCGAAACGGGGCCGGGAGGCGCTCGCAAACTAGATAGAAGGGTCCTTCTGAGGGCCCTGACTTGGTAGTTTGGGGCGGTATCGGCAGGTGTGTCAGATAAAGGGGTTTTTTTTTTTTTCGGCAACCACATTGTGCCTGTATATACACATGAAAGGAGAGCCGCTCAGATGAAGACGACAATAGCATTTCCAGCGATGGCCATCATCAACCTGATAAAAAGAGCGGCCACTACAGTCTTTCAACTGAGGCGCTGGCTGACTGAAGCGCGCGTTCTGTTGTTCTACGGGGTGTACGTACGTGATGCTCATAATATTATGTATGAGATTCTGGGTAGGTGTATATATTTATATGCATTTTGTGTTCCCTCTCTCTTTCTTTTTTCTCTCTTTCTGTCTGTCATCGGCTAGCGGGCGTCAGGCCTTGGCCTCCTGGGCACCGACGACCGTCTCGAGCCGCAGGTCGTTGAGCACCATGTACCTGCTCAGCGCGATCCAGCCGTACCGGAACCAGACCATCTGGCTCTTGTGCGCCGTCGTCATGGCGCTCCACGCCGTCGCCCAGCCGCCGTCGGCGCCCAGCTCGCTGAGGAACACCAGCGCTGTGGGGTGGTAGTCGTCATTCTCGTCCTCGTCCTCGTCGTCATCGCTGTTGTCCTCCTCCTCCTCCTCCTCCTCCTCCTCCTCCTCCTCTTTCGTCGTCTTGGGCTTCTTTGGCGGCTTCGGCGGGTTGCTGCCGGGCGTGGTGGCCCAGGAGAAGAGGGTGGGTATCGCGTCGAGGAAGTTGCTGTACTTGCGGGCGACAGAGACAGATGTAAGGGTGTAGAGGTCGACGGGGGAGGGCCAGCGCGGGTCGGCGGAGAGGGCGGAGACGAAGGCGCGGGCGCCGTGGTACAGCGAGACGTGGTTCGGGTGGGAGGAGACGCCGGCGGCGTCGAAGGTGATGAGGACGTCGATGTTGGCGGCGGGCTCCTCGCCGGCGGCGCGCTGGCGGGCGAGCTGCGGGGCGAAGGCGCGGCCGAGGAGGGAGGCGATCTTTGTCTCGTCCCAGGTCTTGGTCATGGAATCTTGAAAGTCGCTGGAGGGGCGGGAAGCAAAAGAGCGAAACGATTCAGCAGGTGGCCCGGGGGAGGGATTGGTGGAAAATAATGGGATTGTTTTTTTTTTTTTTTTTGATTTTTTACTCACGGGCTCTCAATGACAAACACGTCTTGTTCTTGTTGCAGGCCGAGCTTCATGCCGCTCTTGACCAGTTCTTTCTTGCGGGTCTCGCCCAAACCATCGGCGTCACCTACAGAGACACACGTGCGCCGTCTCGTCAGCCATTGCGCGCGGCATTGCCCACCTCGAGCGGCACCCCCTTTCCCCTTACCTGAGCTCAGACACAAGATCTTGACGTGGTTTCCGGTATCGGGCTTGGTGAGGGCCAGGACGGTGGGGGCGAAGAACATGGCCTCGTCGTCCGGGTGGGCGATCAGCAGGCAGATTCGTTTGTTCTCGAGGGTCGGCAGGCGCGGCGTGAGCAGCGGCACCAGGTACATGTACACTGCGGGGGCGACTGCCACCAACAGGGCGCCGAGGAACAAGATCCAGCCCATCGTTTGTGCCTGTTTCTGGTTTTTTGTGGTTCACACGAGGGGGGGAGGGTCTTCAGGTACACGGTTTTCGATTCGACGGTGAGGGAGAGAGACTTTTTGGTTCCCCCAGGGTGGGGTTTCGTCGTCGTCGTCGTCGTCGTCGTCGAGGGCGGGGATTGTCGTACGAACAGATGCGGTGTGCCGTGCAGAGTAAGAGTCTGTGAGAGTGAGAGAGAGCAGAAGACTGAGTTGCCACCTTGCGGTTTGGGATGGGGAGACCCTGGCCCAATCTCGGACGAGACAACGGCCGACCAAAGACTATCCGTAGTGTGTGGGTGGTGGACAATAGGAAATTGGATGTGCCTCGCAACCCGGACGATCACGATCCAGGGACCATTGGCCGTGTTCTGTGCAGTACTGAGTATACATAGTACGTGTGCCTCCTCGTGCGGCCCAGTCGGTGTGCGTAGCAGCCCGTCTTCCCCTTTCTCCGAATTGCAGGCGGTGACCGGTCGCGGGGGGGTTCCTGATGCTACAGACACACTGCGAGACCCGCTGGGCGGGGCGGGTGACGGCGGGTGATTGGCGGCTTGAAGCCTGTATCATGCGACGAACAGGGGTCCTTTGGTCTCTGGACCGCCGGCCGGCAAGGGGGGGAGCTCTAATTCTTTGGGGCCGAAGCTGAGCTGAGCTAAGCTGAGCTGACAGTGGGGAACAACCAGGAAAAAACACAGCAGAGGGTTACAGTGGTCACGTTAAAGTCTACCTGTATCGAAGCTTTACTTGTCTTTGTCAGCCAACGGCACGCGACTAGACGACCGACCGACGCGACGAGACGACAGCATACCTGCAGCTGCGAGCGAAACCGGCTTCGACCAGTATTCACCACCCTACTCTGAACATCATCATCGCTCGTGGACGTGGGGCAGCCGAAGGGGAACAAGGGACGACGTGATTGAAGCGTCATCCAGGGCGTTTGAAAAATGGCGAAGAAGGGCAAGGAAAAGAGGATCAAGGATCCTAGAGACATCCCTCTGGCACAGCCGGACCGGTCTGGTCCCAGCGAAGCCACCCTGCTCCAGCTCGCCCAGGAGAGAGGTCTCTTCAAACAGGCCGACCAGGATCCGAGGAACAAGAACGTGCCCAAGGGCGCCGTCCGCATCGACAGGCCCAGCAAAGAGCATAGCAGCGATGATGAAGAGGACGACGACGACGACGACGACGACGATGAAGCCAAGCTGTCCCCAGCCATGGAACGCGTCATGGACACTCTACTGTGGACAGTGAGTCTCGCCATGGTCCACGGCACACTTGATGTGCTGGTCCAGAACCAGTACGCCAAGGAGATCGAGTATCCCGTCGTCATCGGCCGTACGCTGGCTGCCTTCCTGGGTGAGTGTTACATCCAAACCCAACGAGTAGTAGTAGCAGCAGCAGCAGTAGTAGTAATAGTTGACGTTGCTCGTGCTAATCTTGTTTTGCCCGTAGTCCTCTCCTTCCTCTTCTACAACCTACACGCCCACCCTACCAGCCCGAACCTCGTCCCGGGACTCCCGCTGCGCTTCCAGCATCCCATCCGCCAGGCTGTTTTCTTCGTGGCCGGCACCTGGGCCGGGTGCCACCTGATATACATCACCAACAAGTTCAGCTACCTGTACGTCCTCAAGCAGGCGCCGACGCTGGGCTGCGTATGGATCTGGTCCGTCCTCGAGCTCGATCTGCCCGTCGCCGTCGCCAGCCTGGCCACGGCCGGAGCGTACATGCTGCAAGGGGGATACGCCATCAAATGAACAGCCGCGACTCGTCACCTCGACACGGCCGGTGGATCCGGGCTCGCTGCTCGGCAATCTGGCTCTCCAAGACGAACAAAGCTCTCTCTCTTCGGTCTTCGTCTCCATCCATGTAGTCATTGACTCTAGATCTCGAACTCGCCTGCGGGGGAAATAAGAAAGAAAGAAGAAAAGAAAAAGTATAAGCAACGGTCGTCAACACCAATGAGAGAGGAATCCCCCTTTCACGAAGAAATCATGCTCATCTGCGTGACCTGCACCCGTGCCGTCAGGGCTTCCCTCTGCCGAACCAGCTCCAGCGTCTTGGAGCGGTCCGGCGGCCAGGCCATGGCGACGTTGGTCGTGAAGCCCCAGCTCTCAGGCACGAGGGCACCAGGTCCGAAAGCCACGCAGAATCGGTCTTGAACCAGGACAGGAAGGCCCTATGGCCCGGAAGTACTCGTTGTCGCTGTTGCGCAGGTACGTGATTCTGACGTACGCCGCCGCGACGATTGCCACGGCAAAGCTGAGGATTCCCGGCGACGTTGGCTGCGATGGACAGCGGGCGCTGTCCTGCTGTGCCGCGGGGTCCATCGGGAGAGCTCGCAGATGCACATTGTAAGGCTGATCGAGTAATGATGATGCTGTGTTTCTGAGAATGCCGTCGGACGGGGGACAGGAACCCCCGAATGCTGGACGGACCCCTGTCACTCCCGCCGCCGCCGCCGCCCACACTCTTAGCGCTGTTCTTGGCGTCCGATGGCGGGGCCGTTTCTCACGTCTCCCTTTGGTCATGTGATCTTACACGGTGCTGATGCTGATGGTTGTGACAGGCAGTCATCTTTTCAATTGAGGTCGTAAGTCGGCATGACAATCTTGCTTTCTGCAAGAGGCAGGCGCTTGTTGCAGATACTGAAGGATTTCGTCTGACACGGGCAATACGTGGTGGCCTCGCCCGGCCTCCCTCAGACAGAATAACTGAGTTGGACATTATATTGATCAAGAGCGTCAAACATGGGGTCTCATATAGACTGGTGATGCGATCAATGTAAAAGCGCATCCTCGCAGAAGCAAGGGTAAATTTAACCTTTTACCGTTTCTCGAAATGACCCAACACCATGTTGAGCATTGTGCTGTCGACGCATCAAAGAATAGATTCCAACATTGCTCTGGTCACAACAGAACACCTGGGTTTGTTTTTTCCCCTTCATCAAACGATCGAAGCGACAAAGGGATTCCGTGGCATTCACACGGTTGCTGCCTGGGTGCCAGTCTTGGTCCCAGCTATTAGAGATACACCAATTTGGCCTTAGACGAGTATACACCACCGCAGGAAGATAAAGTTGACGGCATCAGCTGTGGCATGTGTAGCTCCTCCCTATATAGGTCGCGCGCCAGGCCGAGGAAACGAAGAGGAGAGAAAAGAAAGTCTCTTGTGTTGGTTGACAATTCATCTTGATCGCCTCGTCGTGCAAAGCCCAGCCGTAACTAATTCTTCTCCAGAGCCAGCAGCTCCCGTCAAACTAGAAGAACCGCATCAAATCACAGCCTCACTTTACTCTGCTCCTTCCTGTTTTGTGCCAAAAGACTTCATCAGGGTTCTTGGAAGCCGTAACAGCTCTAGCCCGGCTCTTTGAGACGGGCAGATAGATAGGCAAACAGGCAGACTGCTCAAGGACAGATTTTCCCTCGCTTCTTGTTTCTCCCAGCCTCTTTCTTCACCTCTACATTCTTTCATCCTTCCATCTATCATCATCTTTCCATCGCCGAAACCTCTCCTCCTCTCCCCAACGCTACTAAGTCTCTCACACCGATCACTTTCACCCGCCTTCGCTCACCAAGATCGACGCCTTCCATCCCAGACAAACTGCACTCCAAGGTGACTTCCCTTTCCCCATCCTACAAAACCTCATTCACTAATACATTCCAGCACTCGCCATGTCTTCCAACGGCTTCAGTCGCTACACTGTTCCCTACTCGGGCGTTGTGGGCACGGCCAACTTCGTCCCAGGCGCCGCCGCTCACCCTCCTGCGCCCCAGGACAAGCGTGCCCAAGGAGGCTTCCGTCTGCCTGTAGTTGCCAGTGAGCCTGTTACTGCCAGCACTGCTCGCAGCAAGGGTGAGTCGACGGCTATGGGTGCAGCAGCTGGCGACCCCTTCCAGGACGCAATCCCTGCTCGATTCGCGTCGGCCAGAGTCTCTGCTGCCGGTGGAGGCATAGCCATTGTCCCAGACGGCCTTGATGCTGGAGGCTTTCCGTCCTCTTCCGAGATCTACGCTGCCAGTGGTCTTGGTCAGGTGAGTGGCCAGAAGAAGGAACAGCTCAAGGGTGTCAGCTTGGTAAGTTCGTCGCTCCTCTCCATGAAATCAATCCCCATCCCCCGGCAAGCTTCGGATGCCTTTTTTTTTTTTTTTTCTTTGAAAGCATGGAGAAAATCTCAGCTTGCTTTTCCTCCTCAAAATCCGATGAGAGCCCAAGCCATGATGAGGTCGTGAACCATGAGTTTGTGAGATGCAGGCAATCTTCTCACAGGCCCCTCCCTCTGCCCTTTCAAAAGGAAAAAAAGGGAAAAAAGAAAAAAAAAAAAACCCTCCATTCCCTTTTCCATTACACAAATAAAGCCTCTTTCTCTCCAGTTTCTCACATTTCCGTCTTCTCTAGAACAATAAAGACCGATTGCGTTTTGGCACTGACGGCCAGTATGACGACGAGGGCATGCCTCCGTCGCCTACCCTGATGACAATGAGTGCCCAGCGCCATTCTGACCGGGCGCTGCCTGTGATTGCACGAGAACTCAAGGCCGTCAAAGAAGAGAACCAGCGTCTCCGTGACGCCAACCTCCGCCTGCAGTCCAGGGTCATCAACAACGATATCTCGAGCAATCTCGTTGCGAGCCTGCAATCCACCAACAAGCAGCTCGAGACCCAGACAGAGAGCCTTTACAAGCAAATGGCCGACATTCAGCAGCAGGCCCAGCGCTTTCTCCGCCACCGCAACCGCCTTCGGGCCCGGCTCATCAACACCGAGGACAGCCTGATGGAACTGGTCGATCTGATCGTCCGTCTGGAGAACATCATCAGCAGAATTGACCCCGACATCTTTGTCACGTTTCCATACGAGGTCCAGCGGCTGCTGACGTCCATCCACGAGGAGTGGAAGTACCAGGAGTACTGCAAGTGCTTCAAGCCTGAGGAGCTGGAGGACGATGCCTCTTCCGTCAGCACCATCATCGAGCCCCAGAATGCCGTTCGGGATGAGTCTCTCAGCCTCATCATCGGCTCTTCCTACGAGACCGCCACCGTATCCTCCGCTGTTTCGGGAGATGCCTCTTCTAACGGTCTCAAGAATGATCCTTCCAAGGCCGATGATGCTGCTGCCAATGCTTCCAAAAACGACTCTATCAATCCTCTCAGTGGCATCGTCGATGACATCTCCAACGCCGAGCTCCTCAGACAGTTGTTCCAGGACCACACCATCAGCGGTCCCAGCACCAAGGGCTCTGGCCAGCAGACCCCCCGGCGCGTTCGCCCTTCCGAGAACCTCCTCGACTTCTCCTCCCCCGGGACCCCGTCCAGTATTGGCACGCCCCGAACCGCCTACTCCGGTTCTTCTGAGAATGGTCAAGGCACTGGCGTCACTCATGGCCTTCAGACCTCCCAGACCGTCCACGATGCTCAGAACGAACAGGGTGCTGAGTCTACTGAGACTAATGAGAGCATGACGACCGCTGCTGATTCCTTCGACTCTCTCGGAATCCACAACAACATTCACAAGCACTAAAAAGCGTGTTGAATCGCGGCAAGAGCCATTCATGCTCTGAGCTTTTGCATTTCTGCCTTCAGACTGGGTAAGACTGTGGAACTACATATCGTCAGTATCATTTCTGCTAACTTTGTGGGCACCAGACGAAATCCATCATTGCAATGCATGCTGTGCCGCAACCTCTGCCTTGTGCAATGCTTTGTCCCCTGCTCAATAGATCGTTGACCATGCAGAGCAACACGCCGCCCTGTTCTCTGGCTTTTGCAGCACATTGTTTGTCATGCCGTCTTCCATCTCTGCTCGTTCTTCCAGCACGCGGCAAGCTCAACGCTTTGGAAACAGCTTTTGGGATTCTCTAGACTTGAGCACGGGTTGATCTCCATCGACCGTTTTGCGCCTTTGGGCCAATGTTTTGGCCACGACAGCGTTCGCAGTACTAGAGAAGCACATGCTACAGGGCCTAAAGTATTTTTTTCTTTTCGTTTCTCTTTGTCACCAGCTCAGGTGCCATTCTCCAATGGACACAAACAACTTTCTTTCAACTCTGAGATTGCGCTCTAATAGATCTGCACGAACACGTGTGTCTGCGCACAAAGGTCTCTCCATACAGAACGCGGCACACGACATTTTGCCCTTGCACTAATAGACAGCCTAGTTTGTCGCCGTTTGGCAGGGGATGGGTTAATGCAATGGTTACTGCAACAAGCAATCACTCAGGGTCACGGAATGGAAAACACCTAAAAACGCAAGGGAGTGGGGGGGGCTTGGTAGGTAGTTATCCAACGCGGCGGACGGCAAAGCTGGACCATTAGCTAGTAAATTAGTAGTCTTGAATCAACTGCAGCTCCAGTCGAGCATTGTGATGCCTGAATTTGAATGCAGGATGTGATGATGGTGGTGGTGGTTTCTGACAGATTGCTAGTTGGTATTTTTGTCAGTAATCCATCCAGTAGAGAACGTTGAGTTATATAAAATCTTGCGTCTCCACACCGCGTGGTTCTGCTGAGACAGCCAAGAAAGCAGCCACCCGAGTCCGCCGACCCGTTGCCTCCGAGAGCAACCATGTTCCCAAGCCATATCTGAGAGGCCTAGGAAGAGGTGGTCATCATAGCTGCAGGTTGTAGGGACACCAAACGAGCCGACGTGTGACAGCTCCTGCGGTAGAAAGGGCGCCGCCGCGAACCCCGGGAGGCAAGCGCACAATAGGTCGCCGCCCCCGCGGTGGCAGGGTCGAGGAGAGCATTATGTGGTTCTTTGGGAAAGGGGTCGTAAGCCGGCCGTCAAAGAGGGGCATGTCGCCAGAGGGAAAGGTCAATGGGAGGGGTAAGAGTGGGAGACACAGGGATTGATTGTCCTCGGCCGGCCGAGTCTCGTTCTCGGGTTGTTGAGTCTGCGGGTCTGACGACGGCGGCATCGACGACCTACGCCCCAAAGGCAGAGGCGTCGAGGATGGATGTCCCAGAGACGGCGGTCGTAGAGACGGATGCATCAACGGCTGAAGCTGAAAAGATTGAAGCTCTCAAGAAGGCCACTGCAGGGACGGAGACGGAGTAGACCGCCGTTCCAAGAAACTGGCGTTTCCAAAGCTGCCACTACCGATTCGCCTGTTTCCGAACCAAAGACTGCTGCATCGGCTTGTGGAAAGGATGCTGCCTCCGCTCCTCACCAGTCTGACAAGAAAGCCTCCAAGGCCCTGGTGCGTCCAGGAGCAAGGCAACGGGACGAGACCGGCTACGCCACACCCCCTGCCGGAGCATCGCCCGCGTGCGCGTGAGAGTGTGCGTGTGCGTGAGCGAAGCCTGAAGAGAAGGCGAAGAGGGCAGCAAAGACGGCCTGGCAGGCCGGGGAGCAGCAGCCCGGGGGCACGCCGACTCTGGGAGATGAGGCCTCGCCGGGCGGTACTCGGCCCGAGCACAAGAAGGATAGAACGGCGGCCGAGCTGTAATATTCCCAGAAGTCCGGTCCTGCGAGCCTGGTCGATTCAAGTTGGCTGGGGAGCTTCAGGGATCGCGTGACGGGCTACCAGCTCATCGCTGGCATGGCAGTGTCACTGCAGGGCCGACGGACTTTGACTTTTGGAGAGAGTTTGATCGGCCGAGAGACAAGTGCGAGAGAGAATCGTCATTTCATTACAATTCGGGTGCTTGTTGCATGTAAAACCATCTGTAGCAGTTTGCTGTCTTGAATCGTGAAAGGTCTCCCCACACGCCATGACGACCTCCCCGCCCACGCATACACGCTTGGGCACTCGTCGCTCACATACCCGAACCGTGAACTCGCACGAAAGAGCCATGTTTCTAAAGCGAGAAGATGTCCCCCGTACCGCATCCTTCAAGCCGCTTCTAGGCACCGTCGCTGAACCGTTGCAGCCAGCAAGGCCCTGTCTCCGGCCAGGTAAGAAAACCGCGCCGCAAAAGTGGGCCGTCGGCGGAACAATCGAGAAAAACCCGCTCTTCCCCCGCCCGCCCCGCCGCCTCCGCCGCCGCCGTCGTCGCAAACAGTCCCTCACTCCGCAAACCTCACTTCAACCCGACACACACACCCAAGAACAACAACCGTCTCACTCTCCTCCAAATCATTCGTTATTTCATCCAAGGGAAAAAGCAAGAAGAAGAAAAAAAAAAAAGAAGAAAGAAGAAAGAAAAGAAACCTGCAAACAATGGAGCAACCGACCACGCAGGACCCCACCGCCAACCTCGCCCACCCCCCCTCCCTCGAGCGCTACAACCTCCCGATGCGCGCCTGGCTCGAGAACAACGGCAAGACGACGGAGCTGGACGGCCTCGCGACGAGCGCCCTCGTCTTCGACCGCCGCGGCCGCGTCCTCCTGCTGCAGCGCGCCGCCCACGACAGCATGCCGCTGCGCTGGGAGGCGCCCGGCGGCGCCGTCGACGCCGCCGACCCGAGCGTGCTCGCCGCCTGCGCGCGCGAGCTGCGCGAGGAGACGGGGCTCGGGGCCGTCCGCGTCGTGCGCGTCGTCAGCGAGGGCCCCGGAAGGGAGCCCGGCAGCTCCTTGACGAACCGCACGGGCACGCTGGCGCTGCTGCGGTTCGTCTTTGAGGTCGAGGTCGCGGCGCCGGGCGGCGGCGACGGGGACGAGATTGTCGTGCGGACCGATCCCGAAGAGCACGCGGACCACGTGTGGGCTTCGGAGGAGGAGGTGGTGAGGGAGAGGGTCGGGGAGAAGGACATCCCGATCACGAACGCGCAGATGGCGAGCCTGATCCTCGACGGGTTCCGGCGGAGGCGGGAGGAGCGTGTTGTTTAACCATTGTCCTTGTCCAAGTCGTCTTGCGAGACCGAGGACCTGACTTCGTTCACGGGTTTTCCGAACGGAACGTCCGACGAGGGGTGATATTACAGCGAGTTGGATCGTCTTGGCCGGGTAACCGCTGCCCTGTATAACTCACGGGAGGGCGGACCTGGCAAGCCAGGCTCCAGCGCCTTGATATACCTCTGTTCATCCTTTTATTGTCGCAGAGTTCAACGTGGTTGGTGTCTCTACTGATGATACTACCCGGGATCAGACATCGTGGGCGAGAACTGAAAGGCACAAATGGATAGAGGCAAAGCTTAAGAGAGACTGATATTCCTCCAAACGACTGGCTTTTACACTGATCTTGACTCGCATTCTCGAGGCGTGGCCCCTACCCAGACCTCCTTCACTGGATCTCGCGCGGAGGATAGGGTTAACTCTTGATGTCGATAAAGAGCGGCAGCATGCATATCACGAAATGCGGAACTCGGGAGTTGTCCTTCCCGTCACAGATTTTGCACAATCACGGTCGCTGCCGGACCTCCCAACACCTATCGCGATGCTGAGAAAAGGCCTATAGTCGGAACACGTCCAATTGGGTCATCCCCAAGCTGGACGACAAGTATTCGAGCAAGAGAAACCATTGACCTGTTGGGAGCATCTTTGCACGAGTGGGCGATCCGCCACTGAGCAGTCAAGATGCCACCGGCATGGGGTGCGTGCAACCCAAGCCCGTCAGCTCACACGGCATCGTATCATACCAACCATCGGGGATTAGCACATGAAGGCTGGCAGGTGGGCACTCTGTCATGCTCGGAGTAAGTGAGACCGATGGCGTCCAGCAATGCATGTGCAAATGGTAACCCCAAGTCAGGCAAGGCCCTAATAAGCACGCCCCGTATCAGTATTAGGTAGGTAATGATAGCACGCAAAGATTTACAGAAATCATGTCATGGAGGCAACGAGTCGAGCATTTAGGCAGGCACGAGAGCTCTTCATCGCCGCAGCGGGAATGAGAGAGAGTCAGCTTCGTGAAGCCCTCGACATTCCCAAAGAGGTGCAACATGGATGCTCGACGGTGAATTTCGACTTGTTGCTTTCGCGCAGGCTACCGACGCCGATGCGAAGCCCAGGCAAAAGCTGCAATCGATGGGCCGGGGCTGTACCGCCGAGGTCCGACGCTGGTTTGGTCTGAGGCGCAGGTTGCGCAACGCTGGTGATTCAGGTACCAACTGCATGCATCTGCAAGGTGGAGGAGCTTGGCAATCTTGGCAGTCGCCCTGTTCCACCCAGGGGCCAGTTCGTCAGAGGGATCACTTTGGGGCCCGAGCAGGGGGTGCAAGGCGAACTAAGCGATTGCCATGTCATGCATCGTATCCGTAAGCAAACCATGGCAGATTCCGCGCAAGGTTCGAAGAAAGGCGGCGCCGACAACAACAGCGATACCTACGGTAGATGCAAATGGTACGGTGTGTGCATCCGACCCAACTAGCTGAGCAGCTCGCTAGGACCACGGCTGGGTGGTGGCACGATAGGCCAAAGGAGCTTGCTTCCGACGCGAAGTGATGATGCGAGCAACAGGTGGTATAGCCCCGGCTATGCCGATACTCCGGGGGACACGGTTCTAGACCTCCCACTTGAGGCATCACACGGCCCGGACGGGTACCGTGGCGGAACTACGTCGCCATCTGCGGCTTTGACGTCGCGCAAAGCGGCATGGATTTGCCGCAGCAGCTAGTGGGTGAGACCAGCCATGTACGATGTGTTGCATGAAGGACGGACGGAACCCACGTACTAAGCCCTGAAAGCGAGCGGTAATGCCCGAAGCCGGCAGATATTAGGGCTGCCCACAATGCTGTTGCGGCGCGGGCGGGTTAGTCAGTGCCTCTAGCGCCAGGCGCCAGTGGTGGGCGTAAAGTGGGATCTTTAGGTAGGTAGATGAGGCTTGGTCGATGGTTGAGATCGATGGTTGAGAAGAAGCCGATTCGGCGCCGCAGATCCGAGAGAACTGAGCCATGGAAGGATGGATGACAAGACAGGCGACAGCCGAGGCGAGCAAGACGACCGGCGGCGGCGGCAGCAGGGGTGAAGACACGGCTTCTGGCGTTGCCGGATTGGGGAAGCCGGTGATGGAAAGTAGCCGGGCGGCGAGTGCCAGCCGGAGGCAGAACCAACCGGAGAGAAGAATGACTGGGGGGCCTGCTGAGCTGCAAGTCTTGAGCACTTGGTGACTACGAAAAACGCAGACACGTGGGGTATGAGAGAGACATTACGATCCTCTTGGGTGTAGTGTACCAACGCTGTAGGGATGCTTTGTCGACCCCGTCCGCCGTAACCATGTACCAGAGCAGAGTGTGCATCGCTATGGGGGCAGCGAGTGCTCGCCTTGTGTTTTGCATGACATGAAACTGCCGCCTTATTCCCGGGGAGGGTCCGTTGTTGTCGTTGTCGTTATCGCCGTCGTTGTTGGCAAGGATCGTATGCGGTGACTCAGGTATCCCGTACGGGTAGACCACGGATATCCCATTCATACCTACATGGTAGCTCGACACATCGGTTAGTTCATCAGCGACAGAAGACAATACTACTCTGCTTGCCTCGTAAAGTCTCGACCCATGCGCAATATCGCCGACGCGGGACTTGCCGCTGTTGTTTTTTGATGCCGCGGTGGTGGCGTAAACACCATCGACCCTCCCGAGATGGCAGATGGGGGTGGGTTCATGTCGAAGCTTGACTGGATTGGGATGGGTGAACAATGCTTTGTCGCCAATTGGGACGCAACGTGCATGCAGCAAGCAAAGCAGCGTCGCAGTCGAGGCGTGTCCCTCCGCGGGGCCCGTTGCAGTCAGTCAGTGGTCATTGTCCATCCTCATCATCGTCGCCGTTGTTGTGGTCGTTATTGTCGCGCGGTGAAGGAGAAGACGAATTTTCCTTCCTTCCTTCCTTGACTTGGGTACCAAAGTTCCAAGGTAGGGAGGTACCTGCCTCATCGAAGGAGATGGACAGTTATGGACTGCACACAACCTGCCAAAATGTCGTTCCTTCCTATCTTGCCTCCCTGCATTGCACTCTATGTGTGTACGTGGCGTCTTCTCCTCCTTCCCCTTTCCCGTTCCCAAGCCCGCGGCTTCCCCATCCGATCCGGGCTCGGCATTCTCGCAGGGCAGGCACACGATGCTATCGCGACTGCAGCGGAGGCAGGCAAGGCAGGCAAGGCAGGCAAGTGACGGGTGCGAACTTCCCTGCAGGTGCAGCAGGTTACGAATCCGCGACTCAAGATTGCCCCACGTATAACCTTCGATGACATCAGCGGCGCCGATCCCGGATCATCTCAGGCGCGCTACACGTGTAATGCCTTCATGTACCGAAAAGTACCAGTACGTTACTCTGAGCACTGTCATTCCACTACCAGTACACGGAAGTACGTACTGTGGCGGGCAGAGGGGGCTTCCCCACACCTTTGCCAGTCGAATTTTCATCACCCCCATCTTGACCCTGTCGATTCCAAGTGGGAATCACTACAGTCCACATTGCCAATCCCTCATGCGAATCCTTGATGCAACACCCGCCCACGATGACGACCACTTCTCCATCTTTTGACTCGACGAACATGAAAGACGACGAAACATTAACAAGGGGATAGAAGAACTCTCCAACACAATCCAAAAAAAAAAAAAAAAAGACACAAAGAAAATTGCCCCCTACCCTTGCTCCAACAACCACGAACCCGACCCTGGCCTGGCGACGACCTCGAGTACACACCAGTCGACCAATAATCACTCTGCACATACGACTCGACTGACTATACCCAGACAGGGGTTGTGGTATTCCAATCGGATTCACGACTGTCTGGTCTGGTTCTGCAACAGTTCGCACGCGTGACGGTCAGACCTCTTTGCCCCGAACTTTGCCCAACGGCTCTCCCATTATGCAGCAATGCGGTGACGCAACTTGCAAAAGCCTTGCTTTACTTGCCTCTTGTCTCCTCTAGACTAGACTAGACTAGACTAGACTAGACTAGGCTAGGCTAGGCTAGGCAAGGTGAATACGACCCCTACCTTAGGCTTGCCAAGTATTGCTACTAACTACCTTCTTGCGACAGCCATCACCAACACTACCTACTGCATGGGTAAGCAGGAAAAGCTCATCCCGATGGGGAGCACAGCTTATACGCACACACGCATCGCGTGAACCGTCTCCATTCCTCGGCAGCCAACCGTCTACATGCCGCATAATCGCGTCACTATTTCTTGTCGGCTTCCAATCCACGCTAGAGCCTCGTTTCGTCTCTTTTCCTTGTCTCGTTCCACTGCTTGCTCGCCTGCCACCAGTGCGTGCTCGTCTTGAGTGACCAAGGTCATAGCCCAACCTTTGCTTCACCTGGTGTTCGCCAGCCACCAGCCCGTCGGACATGTCCGACATTAACCCACGAGTGCCAAAGAACCCTTTCCCCATCACCATCTCCCTTTCAAAGTGGTGCCGTGTTACAGACGCTGGTCAGCCCTGGGCGCAGTCAAGCTTCCTGTAGTGTACTATTTCCATCTCCGCCTCCCCACGCCGCCCGGGTGCGAATCCGCCCTCGTTGTGATACGATGGCGGCGGCGGTGGCGGATGCAGATGCAGGGACTTTCGCTACCAACAAAAGTCTTCATGGCAGAGTCATGATTGTGTACCCCGCGACGTCAACACAAATGCGATCCGAGGGATCCAGTTTGAGCAAGCCCGACTTCACCCCTTCAGTCCTTCGGTCTCGGCCTTACAAAGAGAGAGAGAGAGAGGGAGAGAGAGAGGGAGAGAGAGAGGGCACTTCGTACATGGCTGTGCATAGTGGACGACGCAGAGCAAGGCACGGTTGCTTGCTTGCTAGGATACCGACGCTGGGCTCCTGGACGTTCCCATCGGCCAGCCCTGCCACATTTCACCGCTTCATCGAACCGCCCGCTATCTGTGGCTTACTACACTACACTGCCTACGGATACAGGGTTCGCCTTGTCCAGGGACCGCGAGAATCTTTGCTCCCCTCGGATTAGAGTAGTTCTGCCGCGGAATATCCCCTCCTTCCAAGGCGCGGAACCAGCCACGAAGACCAATTGGGCCATCGGTGCTACGTGGTCCCCTGTCCCCGCCGCACATCCCGGCCACTAGTCTCAATGCAACGGTTCCTGGGTTGGCCTAGCGAGCCCGGATCTCGCGGTTTCGAGCACCAAAGGTTGAGATGGCAGAGATTGCTTCTTAATGCGATGGAACAGAAGCCCAAGATCGCCATGATGCAAAAGGGCGTGCGAGTGAAACATGGCCGTTTGGCACCGCACAGCTGGTACTCAGTGCACTGACTGTTGAACGACGGGAGTTCCAGTGCCGCCGCCGCCGCTGCTGTGTCTCATTTGGGCTTCACGGCGCACCTTGTTGGCTGCACGTTCCTCGACCCGACCTGTCAAATGTTTTTGATTGATACCTCCCAGCATTCCTACAGCACCAACCCCCCCCCCCCCGCGCTCCTGGTGCTCGTAAGACAAACAACCTGGAGCATGGCATCATCCAGGAGCAACAAGGTTGAACGGAGAGTGTGGCTGGCTCATGTCACCGTTTGATGGATCAATAAAAAAGTCGTGGGGCTCTCACAAGACTACTACCAAGTCACGCAGGGCTCAAGGCATTGGGGCCCTCGGTCATTCTTTGGAAGTCCTGGAGAACTGGCGGCTGCGGCAGCAACCACGCAAGAGGGAGATGGTTCGCCGATAGTCGTACCCAGCGTCGCCTTGCAACCATCGGCCAGGGTGGCGTGGTTTGCAGTGCAACAACCACCAGCCAGTCTCTGCTGTGGCTCCCAAACCAGAGTGCGGATGTGCGGCTCGGGTGGTTGAGTGAGTGAGGCTTGACATTGACCGGAACGACATGCTTTCACCTCACGTCCGCGATGCGTTGGACGCAAAACGATGATGCATACGCATCGGGCGAAGCTGCTGCGCAGCCAAATTCAAACCATTGTCATTCGGCGACCATGGAAGCTCGGCAAGTCGAAGGACCGGCTCATGGCCCAACTCACTTGGTGCGCCGGTTCATGTTGATCTGCTCTGAAGAGGCAGAACAGAGTTGCGACTATCTATGGAGGCGCTAGGACGAAAAAAGACGTTGACGCGGCACATGGACACACGTTGGCGGCGGCGGCATGACGGGCTGTCACGGTCGGAAAGTCTTCCGTTACACACTTTCTTCCTCTCTTTTTCCTTTTCAGGAGACCATCGGTAATATCAGTGGTGTGGGGGGAAGAACCAGGTATCCGATTTGGGTTGAAGCCATACACATCCATCCATCAATGGGCGGGCGTCTTCAACAGCGGGCAGAACAAAGAGCAGCAGCAGCAGCAGCAGCAGCAGCAGCATGTCCATACCGTCGGGTCCATACCATATCATCTGGGCATCAAAACGACGGTTGGCCATCGTCATAGGGATAAAGCTGATTGGCAGCTCACCGTTGACCAAATATCAATATTCCTCGCGATTAGGATTAGGCTTCGGGCCACGACTACTGGCAGTAGAGTTGGCCCGGGCACACTGCCTGCCAGCCAGCATGTCCCGGCGAAGCAAGCCTTCTGCTGACACGACACATCCAGGGACGGTCCCAGACGCCGACGATGCCGATTCAGGGAAAGACTTGAAAGTGGGTTGGCTGTATACCGTACTTGGTTGGCATGTGCCGATTGCAGAAGCGTTCCAGTACCCTTTCTTGACGGCGGCCGTCAGCCACCACACGGTCACGAATGCACTCGACCACGCAGCAAGACGCTGACCCATTCTCGGGGCCCTCGCACTCTGTGTTCCTGCTGCTTGCTTACTTACCTCCTCATTGTCGAATAGCAGACGGGGTCGCTCGGTCCAGTCACAAAGCAGCCACCTGGGGCACCGTCAGCGTTGGTCGATTCGCACAGCCAGCTCGTAACAAGTCAAATCTCAGATGCGAGTGCAGGGCACCAGATAACTGGAATCCCGCCCCAGCCCAGTCAGAGTCCGTCCCTTACGGAGTACTGGCAGTGGGAAGTCTTCGGGCACTAGAAATTTTTAGACAAAAAAGAAACCGCCCACCCCCTCCATTTGGAAAAAGCGGCAAGCAAGGGTCTTATAATACATCATAGGTTGGTCATTAGTTCACACCGAGGTACCTCAGTACGGAAACAAGGCAAGGAGGAAGCCCCTTAGCATCCCGGCGGCCTGCTTCTAGCACACGCTTTGCTTTCAGCAATAAGCACTTCGTGCCGGAGCGGCGGCGCGCGTGGACACGCACTTCCATACGAGCAGCGCACACACACACACACACACACACACACAGCGACGGATCATGGCTGCTCGGCACGGCAAGCAATTGATTACACTACTCTCGGCACGGATAGGTATTGTACAGATACACGCTTGAAAGGAACACCAAGAAACGCTGTGGCTGGCCAGACTTAGTTGCCTAGTCCCCGGGATTGAGCTCTGCCACCATGGACTACGTGAGGACATTTCTTCTGTCTGCCAGTCGGCCCACCTTACTTCCACTTCAACTTGAGTCGTGTCCCTTTTCCCGGGAAACCGTCCGTCCTCCTTGCATATATATCTTGCGAAGTTGGTCAATCGCTTGCTCGCTCGCTCGCTCGCTCTCAGTAAGCATCGGCTGCAACTGTCCTATTCCCATCGTCGTGTTCCCAGTGTTCGGCCTGCGAAGCAACCAAGAAAGAGAGAAAGAAGGAAGGAAAGAAAAAGGCTGGGGAAAACATAGCACTGACTACTACTACTACTACTACTACGTACGACTAAACGGCATACATTCTCACACTGGCCGCCCATTCAAACGTCCCATTCCATCTCATCCCTCTTCATCCGCCATCGTAAGCTATTCCTGTTACCTACCTATATCCATTCATCTACCCATACGTCGTCGTCCCCCCGCCCCCCTGCATTGCGCTTCTTTTTACCTTGCCCAAACGGAGGGAGGGTTTTCTCTCATTCCTTCTTCCCCTCCTCTCAAACATCTCGTCTCATGTCAACCCATAACATTACCCCCGTCGCCTCGTCTTTTCTTGCGAGAGCATGCAAAGGGGAAGAGGAATAAAAAAACATGCACCTTTCTTTTCTTTCTTGTTCTGTCCTATCCGTATTTCCCGCCCCAAAACCAAAAACTTGCAAACCCCTCCCCAATCATTGGTGAGAGAGGACGAGATTACACACAGGGCGTACACCGCACACGCCTCACACACGCACATACTCCGTACATACACACACACACACACACACACACACACACACACACCGCAACATTACCCACGGTCGTCGCGTCGCAGAGTCTTGCTCTTTTCCTGTATGCTACTACACTAAACTCATTCTCCTCCCCCGCGCCCGACATCGTCATCCTTGCCCGTTACACAAAGACCGCCGTCACAACCAATCCAATCCTGTTTCCGTCGTTGGGTGCGTGCTGGGAGCGAGACATACCTACCAATACCAGCCTGTGTGCCAAAGCCAATTCCCACTCTTTCCATTCGGCGTCCAGAAAAACCTCTGAGCTGGGATACCGTCGCAACCGTCGTAGCCGTTGCGGCCGCCTCTTCTCTTGCCTCCCTCTTGCTGTGGCTTGCCTTGCGCCCACCGCTCACTCACTCACTCACTCACCCTCTCACTAGTTCTCCCTCCCACTCTCAGTCAAACCCCCCCCCCCCCTCCCGAGTCGCCGTGTCGCTGTCACATTTCACCATCTTCACTCATCTGTACGTGCGTTTTGTTACCGCTCTCTCCGCCCCCTCATTCTCATTCTTGTTTGCTCGCCTTGCTATACTATGCTGCTGCACTCCACTGCATTATGGCCCTATCGATACCACACCGACCCTATCCTCTTCTTCACATTCACCTTCACCCTTACCTTGTAACCCCACCGCTTAAACAAGGGCGGTCAATTAAGCACCGGGTCATCGACTCTAACTGCTTCGCCTCGCCTTCGCTTGCTTGCCTCTCCCTCCGCCCTCCCCTCCCGTCCTATCCTCCACACCCCTCATCGTTGTCGACATCCTTCCCTGTTGCCAACACCTCACTCGCCGATTTCATCTTTTTGGCTCGACTCGATTCTGACCCCATCCATCCCATCCTCTCTCCACCCCCCCACCCCCACCTGGCTAGAAACCAAGGGAGACTCTCACTCCCCTGGGAGAGCCCCAAGCAAGCAAGACTTCAGCAGGTCCTGTGGCGTGCGCGCGCGCGCGGGGCTCCCCATCCTCACTTCACCGAGGCATGGCAGGCAGTCAGAAGGCAAAAACGTGAGACATCCATTCAACACGGACGCATCCTGACTGGTCCGGACTCCTCCCAGAGAGGTCCTGCGGTATCTATGCCGGGCTATTTTGCCTCTGGACCTTTGACCTTTGGACTTTGGACTGGACTGTAACGAGATTTTTGATTTCGATTGGTCCCACCCTGTTCTCTCTGTCTCTCTCTCTCTCTCTCTCTCTCTCTCTATCCCACACGCCCACCCCTCCCTCCCTTCTGATCTCATTTGTGCCCTCATCACCTACTCTCACTCACACACACACACACACACACACACGCATCTCATCCCGCACCCGCACCCGCATGCCATACTGACCTTCCCGTTGTACCTAGCAACTAGACTTTTCTTCTCCGCCAAAACAATACGCAAAGTTCTTACTTTTCCACCCACTAGGAGGTCCGAGAGTGGGATGTGATTAAGCTCACCCCGGTTCTTGTCACTGACTGATCGTATATGCACGCCTGACTCTCTGTCTCTCTCATCTGACGGTACGTCCTGCATTCTCTTCCAGTACCTGTTCTCTCTCTCTCTCTCTCTCTCTCCCGCTCTCCCACTCCGAGCCCGCCTCCCGTCCGCTTAGCGTCTTCTTCGTCTTGTTGTACCTCAACAAAGACGCATGTCCAATGCCCGCTCCCATGCCAGTCTGTCTGTCCGTCTGTTCTGTCTTGTCTCTCCGCCTTTCCATGTGCGGCAAGTGCTCGCACCGCGCTGTGTCCCATCACCGCTGCACATTATCACGGACAACCCTGCATCCCACCTCAAACCCCCCATCATCCCTAACTCCCGTCTCGATGCCTGACACTCCTGGACGACCCGACCTACACATCCACGTCGTCTCCTCCTATGGATACCCTCACTTGCTTTTTGCCAGCGCATAGAACTGTCTCATGCACCTCTCCCATCTCCATCTGCCCAACACCCCAGACCGGTCTTTTACTGTTCCTGGCCGCTAAAAAGGCAAAAAAACAAAGCTTCCCTAAAACACTGCTCTTCTTTTAGCCTCGACCACCGTTGCTACTGTTTCTTATAATCGGCATACCGCCGCTCATCTTGTTCTCCCCCCCCGGCTGAGTGATTTGCGGACTTCTTTGTCACTCGGCCACACCTTTTACATGTTTCTTCCCGACAGCGGTCGTCGTGTCTAACAATGCCGTCCGCAATGACAGACTCGGAGCGATCTCGGCGTACGGAAAATTGGATTCCCACATCCACCCGCGGCGGCGTCTTTTACTGCCCCAGATATCTCCTCGACCCTCCAGCTGCACAACAAAACCGCCTGCCAACGCCGCCCATCCGCGCTCGTCAAGTGAGGCCGCGATCGATACACATCACCTCGTGGCCGTCTGGTTTCGTACCTCACGAACTGAGACCCCAGCCTGAGCGCCCCGTCAAGAGGAGGAAGCCATCCAACCCCGTCTCGCCCGCTACGACGTCGCTGGGAAAGACGTCGTTGAAGTTCAGCTTTAAGCAATTTTTCTCCCTCTCCCAGAAACAGGTCCCGAGCCGATCCGCCTCGAGCGCTTCCACCCCTTCGAGGCCGCCCCTCTCGAGACCACCCAGCAGGGCCACGAGCCTTCTCAACAGACTCTCCAGCTACCGCGAGGTGGACCTGGTCGTGCCCGAGGAAGACACGATGGCGCTGCGATCGGCCGCCATGTCCGAAACCATGAGGCCGCCTCTGATGTCCTCTGCCTACAACACCCCCGGCCAGCGCAGCAGCTTGATGTCGGTCCGGAGCGCCAAGAGCAACGTGACATCGATGGTGACGGAAATCCCCAAGCCCGTCGCGCACGGCAGCGGCGTCAGCTGCTCGATCCTCATGGCCGAGCCCAACGTCTTCCTGACCGGTTTCGACCACGACGGCCACCGGCAACACTCGCAGGGCGGCACGGCGCTGCTGCGCGGAAAGCTGCAGCTAAAGGTCACCAAGAACGTCAAGATCAAGGGCGTCAGCCTGAAGTTGGTGGGAAAGGCGCGGACGGAATGGCCCGAGGGCATCCCGCCGCTCAAGGTCGACCTTTACGAGGAGGAGTCGCTGCGGACGCAGGTCCTGACCTTCTTCAACGCCGTCAATGACGGATGGGAGTCCGAGTACGGCAACCAGTGTGTCTACACGCTCAAGAACAGCTCCACGAACTCTTCGTCGACGAACCTCGCCCCCGGCTCCCCCCGCAACTCAATCTCGCCGTCGCTGCTGTCGGTGCCGCCCAACTCCAACAGCAGGCAAGGCATGACGGCGAGGGAGCTGAAGCGTCTCTCGCTGCAATCAAACCAATCGCGCAGCTTCGGCAAGGGCGACAACCCCAGCGGCAACCAGGCCAAGGGTTACAAGGTCTTCTACCCCGGCGTGTACGAATATAACTTTGAGCTGCCCATCGACCACCACCAGCTCGAGACCACCAAGCTGCAATACGGCTCCGTCAAATGGGAGCTGCAGGCGACCGTCGAGCGGGCCGGCGCCTTCAAGCCGAACTTGCACGGGTCCAAGGAAGTGGCCATCGTGCGCGTGCCCGACCAGCTGTCGCTGGAAATGACGGAGCCCATCTCCATCAGCCGCCAGTGGGAGGACCAGCTGCACTACGACATTGTCATCTCCGGCAAGTCGTTCCCCATCGGCACCAAGATCCCAATCGCCTTCAAGCTCACGCCGCTTGCCAAGGTCCAGGTCCACAAGCTCAAGGTCTTCGTCACCGAGTCGGTCGAGTACTGGACCAACGACCGCAGGGTCACGCGCAAGGACCCGGGCAGGAAGATCCTGTTGCTCGAGAAGACTGCGGGAAAGGCTCTGGATCCCGCCTACGCCTCGTCGGACGTCCGCGTGCTCAACGGCGGCGAGCTGACGCCGCGTCAGCGTCGCGAGGCCCGCGAGTCTGCGGCCGTGCGTCGTGCTGCCGAGGCTTCCCGCCACGGCATGATGCCAGACCCTCTACCCGAACCGGTCGACAACATCCTGGGCGATCTGGACCTCGGCCTGGAGAGCTACTGGGGCTCGACCGAGATCGAGATGAATGTCCAGCTGCCAACTTGCGACACCATGGCCAAGAGCAAGGAGCTGCGCCTGCACCCCGACTGCAGTTGGAAGAACGTCAACGTGTACCACTGGATCAAGGTATGGAACCTCAGCTTATTTTTGCCATGCGTGAAGCCCCTCCCCCGACTGACACGAGCTTTCCCAGATCGTCATGAGGATTTCTCGCCTCGACCCCGATGATCCCACTGGCACCAAGCGCCGTCACTTCGAGATCAGCATCGACTCGCCGTTCACGGTCCTCAACTGCCGCGCCACGCAGGCCAACACCTCTCTGCCCGAGTACTCGGGCCCTGACGCGTGTGCCAACCAGAGCCGCCAGACCTCCTGCGGCTGCCCCGACGCCGTGACCATCTCCGGGCCCCCAGAGGGCTCGCCGAACAACCTGTCGACCGGCGCCCTCACCGTCGTGGACGGCTCCGACAACCTTCCGGCACCGCCGCAGGCGGCACACCTCCCTTCCTCCCCGCAGCCCAGCACCACCACCGCCACCGCCAGCGGCCACAGACGGAACCCACCACCGAACTCCCAGACGAACGCGGACTCGTTCTCCGACACTCAACCGCGCCCGATCCACCTCCTCCGCGTGCCGTCGTACAACCCCCCCGCCTTCGACGCCGAGGTACCACCGCCGCCCGCAGAGGAGCAGCTGCGGCTGCAGACACCGCCGCCCCAGTACGACGTCATCGTCGGCACCCCCAGCGTGGACGGCATGGCGGACTACTTTGCGCGCCTCGCGGACTACGGCTACGACGAGCCCGAGGACTCGGACGAGGACGAGGGCCCGGCCCGCATCACGGAGCGCGGCGGGCGCGTCAACGTCGCGCACCCCCGCACGCCGGGCGGCCGACGCGCGCCCAGCCGGAGCATGGAGATCCAGCGACCCCCCCTGGAGCCGAGGATGGAGTCGCTGCCCGCACTTCGAAGGAACGACGTGCCGTCACAAATTAACTGAACATAATGATATGTAATATCAACGGACCCAAGATCCACCACCAACAAAGGCCAAAACAACGACAACTGATGAGAAGGGGAAAGGGATTGGGATGGAACTAGAGGAAGCCGGCTTTCACGTTTTTTTTTTCCTGTCACGCATCATGACGGATTATTCGAAGGGGTTTTTACACACGATTCAAACGAGAATGGACGAAGGGGGGGGAGGGAAGGGAAGGGGAACCGGTCGGCGCATTGGCACAAAATAAGGGAGGCTGCTATTCAAGGACGCGCCGCGCTTCGCTCGCCATACCCGGAGCGAAGCAGGATCTCACGGGGTGGAAGAAAGGGGGTTTAACGAGTCCCCGGATTCATCTTTTTTTTTTCTTTTGTCAGATATACCTGGACTCTTTTACGTCCACCGCCTTTTTTTTGCGTGAATACTTGATTCCCCGGATAACGTAAACCTAAACTGTTGATTACGAAGGAAAAAACAAAACATATTTTTCACAAAAAAACAGAATGAAAACAAGGCTGCTTCTATAGTGATTTTGATGTGTCTTTTGGCATTGTTGTTTTTATATTCTGCTGACTGAATATTGTTTCATTTTTTATTCATTTTTTGTTCTTCTTATTTTATTTTACAAGAGGCCGAACGAATATGGGGACTTGGGGCGGCGACCGCCTTTCCTCCTCCCCCTTTTTTTCTTTTCGGTACGCCCTCATGTCATATTTGTCCAGCGTGTCGGCGGAGAAAGAAAAGCTCCAACGATGAAGTCGATCCGCCCGTTGCTTTTCTGCGGCTGATTCACGTGGTTCGACAAGACGTCTCGTGACGGGGCGAGAGGGGGCGTGTAAATCGTCCGTCCACCCGTCCGTCCGGCGCTGCTCTCGCCACGCGAAACGAACCTCGGTCGAAGGCCCCCGCCGTTGGAAGACGGTCCGAGTCCCGGTGGCACACCCCTCGGCGACGTTCCTCCCGGAGAGATCCGTTTATGGGGAGGTGGTTTCTTGTTTATTGGGTATGTATTCCCACCTCCTGACGTTTGGGAGGAGGCGAATAAAGGGGGTGGCGGATGTTTCGAGTTCTCATGAAAGGGGGGGGGGAGGAATGGTACGCCAACAGGTGGAAGGGGGGATGGGTCGGGGCCGGAGGAGAAGAGCGCCGGACGGGACGGCGGGCGGTCTTTGCGTCTCGCGCGGGACCGGTGACGTTGCGGATGGCGATGTCCTGTTCGGTGCCCTGTCTCCGTTTGGTCTGCGTTCGGCCTAGGTTGGAGAGGCGCCGATGAGGTTGAGTCAGATGCCGTCTCGTTGGCGGGACGTGTTGGTCTACGGCCCAAGTTAGTCTACAACTCAATCTCGGTACACACGATGGAAAAGAGCGTTTGCCGGGACCCTCGGGGCAGTAGACAGATTCGGGAAAAGGGGAGGGGGGAGAAGGGAGGGAATAGGAGGGTGTGTAGGTTGATTAGCGGCAAGCAGGGCAAAGGCTTGAAGCATCTTCCAATCTCTGGCCACTCCGGAGAAGGGGGGGGGGGGGGGCGTGATAGGACGGTCATGTTCTGGCCGGTTCGAGTGCGGGCGGCGGCTGTTTCGTCTTTCGCGCATTGGGAGGGCGGGCCACGGACGAGGACGCGCCGTCTGGATGGCGGCGTGCGCTGGGAGGGGCTGGACGGCGAGGATGATGTCTTTCGGGGGAGGTTTGAGGTGGTGGTGGTGGTTCGATGCGGGGGGTGTACGTTGTACATCGTATGTTGCTGGTTTTCTGCCCTTTCCTCTCTGCCTCTTTTCCTTGGTCCTTGATATCCACCCCTTGAGTGTGTGAGGTTGCGTGGCGTCAGGACTTGGGGTAACAAGTTCAATTCTGGGGGAGGGGGAGAAGGTTGAGTCGGGTGACAATGGCATTGACAGCACGAGCGCGTGGGCGGGACGCCGGGGGGCCTTGTGTCTTTGCCTTAAGGGGGGTTCTTTTTTTCTGCTTCATGTTTTTTTTTTTTTGAACTTCTTAGTCCCCAGTGACTGGGTAAACCGAACGGGGTTCTTGGGATGGTTAATCTATGCGGAGGGGCCGGAAAGCCGGAACGGACGAGGTTCAGGCAAAGCGACAGCATCGCGATGCTTGATCACGATGGCGGTGGATGGCGGCGGATGGTCCAGCGGTTTCTGCGATGCGCCGCGAGTAGCCTCTGCGGACCTGGCCACACACACCCCTTTGAGCATCATGGCAATGCTGGGACTCCAACTGCCGTACACATGTACGCTTTGTTGGGGGGGAGGAGGGGAAAAAGTACAAGTGTGTTCGGTCGAGGTCCAACGCGGCGAGTCCCTAGAGTTTCGGGAAGGTCTTCCGTCTGATAGTCCGAGCCACTCGCCGGCGTCGCAGGGCAACGTGTTGCTTACTCAGGTGTCCATGCTGGGAGGGGTACCGCACGTGGACGGGAGGGATGGGGCACATTCGAGAAGCGTGGAGAAACAGATTCGATATCGCCAAGGTTTTCTTGTGATAATTATATCGAAAAGGTATATCGGCTTCGATCTGTGGCGGTCGACGCGTGGGCCGGCTCGCCGGGTCATGCCGGGACAGGGGGGGCGAAGATGCGTGATATGATATGCATGGAGACGTTTGGGTTCAGTGAAGAGGTTGGGGTGGCATATAATTTTGGCTGTTATGAGACTACGAATCTATTCATCTTCTGAAATGTCGATGACTGCAATCTTCTAGATTTGACGGCAGGTCACCAACCTCTACTTCAGCCACGTCGAGTTGTTATCGTTGCTGTTGTTGTTGTTGTTGTTGTAAAAACGCAACATCTCTTGCTACTTTGCCTCTACACGAATGACTCCCCGTTCCCAAATATTCCCATGACGCGCACTACCCCTTGGCTTCGCCCTGTGAATCCTGAGCAGTCGTGCAACGGCCGCCTCCTACACTCGGCGGTAGCGAGACTAGGCAACGTCGCTCTCGTGCAGCTATCTGTGCGCAGGAGCTTCTGCCAGACTAGGATCGATGGGTTAGAATCAGGCTTTTTGAAGCCAAGAGAGACGGATCGCTTACTTTCTGCGAACAAGACGACGAGAGCGAAAGCAAACCGCCATTGCAAGGCACGCCACGATCCGCCCGTCTCTTTCCCCGTCATGCTCGCTGATCGGGGGTTGGTCTTGGCAGATTCTCCGAGGGCCTATGGGAGGAGGGTCCCATTGCGGCTGTGGTTCGGTCGTGAGGTTAGTCGGAGGTGGCGGGTTCGTGGTTTCCTCTGGATGGCCCTGGAAGCCAACACTCTCCTCCTGTTGCATCCGCACACGTTGAGATCCCAACAAGCTCCCGCTGGGCAGTGTACCAAAGCATTCATCGATGCTGTTGGCCAAGATAGGCGCCAAGTTTGGGAAACCTCCAGGGTTGCCAGACGAGACGTGCTCGGCCGGAAAAGGATGCCCTTGGGGCGTCTGGAACACATCGTCTGGATCCATATCAATGTTCCACATCAGCCAAACCGCCTCTCTGTAAGACGCAGCGTCGGACTCGTCGAAAATCACCTGCCACCTTGGGAGGTCGCGAATGAAATCCGGGAGAAAGTCCCTGTGGCGGCGGGCTTCGAAAGTATCAACCATTGCCCGTGCAGGACCTAGGAAAGCTATTGATTCGGCAAGGCTCTTGGGAGCTCTACCGTCGATCAATAGTCTCAATGTCCGGATTCCGAGATTCCACAACAAGAGGTGACTGGACAACTTCTGGCCGACCTCCCGAAAAGCACTGGTTGAAAGACCGGCCTTTCGTTTCGTGATCCCATGATGGACGATAAGACGACTCTGGAGGTAGCGCGTGTCTTCTTCGGTGGAGAGGTTGACCGCACGTTGTACAGCGGTTCTCTTGGTCGTCGGTGACGTCTTTGGAAGCTTCCGCAACATGTTTTCAGCATAGCTGCGATCGCCGGTGTCGAGTTCCCCAGGGTGCAAGCACGTAATAGCCATATGGACGTCAGCGCCACATTGAACCAAATACCTCGCGAGCGAGCGGTGCCCAAACTTGGCCGCAACACTGAGCGGTGAACCGTTCTCAAAGTCTCATGCATGGTATTCGTCGAATAGAATCGTGCCAGATGAGCCATGAAAGGGGCTTGGTCAGCCCCATCGTATGCCTTACGGCGACCCAGATGCTAGCCTCAACGAATCACTTACATCTTTATGATTGGTCTTCTCAAGTATTGTTTCCCCCCAATTCTTGTATGCTCTCCTCTTACTATGATGTCGTAGGCGTTCAATCCGAAGGTGGCACCGAGACCGGCACCGACACTTGCGATATTGCTGCAATCCAAGAAGCCAATCTGTCACACGTGGCCTGGTCCATGTGCGCGTCTTTGGAAGGCTTGGAAATATTCTAGCGAAAGCTTCAGCCGTTCCTAGGGAATCGTAATCTTCGGCTCCAAATCTTTACCATGGTGTCAGAATGCGATGTTAACACCTGAGACTGGGACACAGCTGGCTATCACGGTTCCAATCAAGCCCTATACTACGTTAGACGTGAAATCGTCTGCCTGCTATTGAGCCCAGGGTTAGTGGTGAAAAGGCCACAGATTATTTGAGAAGCGTTTTGCTGTTCTCTTTGCAATTGATCGGGGTTTTCCTTTGATAAGTAGGACGTAATATAGCAGCCCAAAACTCAAAACCCCCGGCATCTCGTCAACTATAAGGCCATAGTATTGAAATGGTTGACGGCTATGCTGATGTACGCCTTGACGTGCGTAACAGACTTCCAAACATTCGGGTAAGTTTTGAGTCCTACAGCCTTCATCTTACCAAACTTGATAACCACGTGGTGAAGTTGTTGAAACCTGCACTAAGGCCGCAAGTGCAGTAGCTTTTTCCAGATGACGACAGGATCTATGCTAGCTAATCATGTCCAAGATTGAAGAAAAGAGATGATACAACGTTCCAGCTAGAAAGCGTGCGCAAACCTACAAATCTTATGATGAACAGAAATGTGTTGAAGAGTGAAGTCCTTCCTACAGTCTTTACCTGCCTAATAATAACCTGGACCATGTTATCATGATTATAGTTGCTGACCAAATAGCCGGTCAGGAGGTTGGACACTCCGCCTGGGCCGGCATGGTTACCCATTGGCTAGGCCGTGTGCCGGCCGTGTTGGCAGTGCTGAAAAGGGCGTTTGTTTGGAGGGAAACTGTGACGGAAATATCAGTAACGAAAGGTCTGGATGCCGAATTTGAAGCAAATACGGCGAGAAACGGCGTGTCTTTTTTCATTTTTTTTTGTCATGTTGGAGCCATTATGTCACGAGTTAGAGCACACAGCAGGGCATATGAGGATTCAGGTCTAAAAGGCTTAATTCTATGTAAGTGCAAGTAACGAAAGTGAGGTCCTATATATAGGGAAGTGAATGTGAAACACCACGTGCCACAGCACCTGACAGGGCTGTTACAGAAGGTGGAAATGCATGAGGTTATCGTGACACATTAACTCCATCAACGGAGAACCCGTCAGCGGAAAACGAGTTAGGGTTATTCGGGTCGCCAATAACTACTATGTGTACCTAGAACAAACCCGACGGGTCATGATATGTGCGGGTCGAATCTTCACACTAAAGCTGCACTCTTCCTGGGAGTAAGCCTGGGCAGGGCAATATCGTTAGCATTGGGCAAGCCGTTCGCGTCTCAGCAGTCAGGTTGGTTCAGGATCGTGCTCTCGGATAAAAAGGAGTTCTTGTTGGAAAGTCTTCGACAGATTACTGTGGTAATCGACGACTAGTTCAAGCCAAGCATGCCCAAGGTTACTATGTAATTTCCAAGCAGGTTTATAGACTCGAGCGATCCATGTTTATTGACCTATGTACACTAGACTGCTTTATCCTCTAAAAATGCCCCCCCCTGTTGAAGAGGGTATGCTTCGATAGCATATGGACCAAGACGGTCCTATTAACTTCAGCCTCACGTGGCCACGTGCCTGTCTAGCACCAACCTTAACCCGACCACATCGAAGGTGCGTCAGGGTTCTGTAAACCCACTCAGCTGGAATCGTATAACACAACATCTCTACCTATCCAGAGCCTGGCTTTGGCACTATATCAATGAAGTCAGCGATGGGTACGGGGGTGACGTGGCGTCGCATTTTGGCGTCAAACTCACCATTTGCCAGTACACGCCTTGCATCTTCAGCAATTCCTGATGGCTGCCTTTTTCCGCTACTTTGCCCTCTCCAAAAACAAAAATAATATCGGCGTTCTGGACTGTTGCTAGCCTGTGGGCGACGCATATCATGGTGCGGCCCTTGCTGGCACGCTCGAACGCAGCCTGGACCAGCTTTTCCGACTCGGAATCAAGTGATGACGTCGCCTCGTCGAGCAGGAGGATTTTTGGATCGCGTATAAGGGCCCGGGCAATAGAGATGCGCTGCTTTTGACCTCCAGACAGAGAGAAGCCTTTGGAGCCGATGTCAGTGTCGTATCCTTCTGGCAAGGACACGATAAACTCGTGGATAGAGGCGTCGCGGCAGATTTGATGCAATCGCTCTTCGGAGACCGTGTCTGCATCAATGCCAAGGCATATGTTCTCACGAATGGTGCCCTGAAACATGCATGGCTCTTGGGCCACGAGAGACATGTTCTTGCGATACTCGGCAGCATCAAGGCTATATATACTCTTGCCGTTGCAAAGAATATCGCCTTTGTCGAGGCTATAGAAACGTTCCAGAAGGGAGATGACAGAGGTCTTCCCACACCCCGAAGGACCTACAAGGGCGGCAAACTGACCCTTGTCGATGGTCAAGTCAATGCCTGTGAAGACAGGAGTGTCACGGGTGGGGTAGCGGAAGTGGGCATTCTTCAGCTCGATCTTGATGCCGCTTTCAGTGTCAGGGATCTGCTCCGTGGTGCCGGTGTCATCTTTTCTGTCTGCGTTGCGTAGACTAATGATCCGATTTGCAGCGGCTGAAGCTTGAGCTGCGTTGGGACCATAGCTGAAGCCCGTTCCAGCGGCCTCCGCGCCCTGGATGACGGCCATAAAGCAGACGAAGAAGTTCACAAGGCCATACTCGCGGCTAGCCAGAAGGCGCCCACCGTACCAAAAGATAAGACCTTGGCAGCCCAGGCTGACGCTGTCAGCCAAGCCAAAGAGCAGGCTGGTCCAGCGGGCCTTTCTATAGGCCTCGGACACGTGGCTCCGCAACAACCTGTCATACCTCGAGTGAATGACGTTCTCCATAGTTAGGGAGGTGACTGTCCTAAAGGCACCGATGGCCTCGGCGGCGAACCTGGAGCTCTTGGCAAACACGGCAGCGTTCATCTTCTCGAATTCGAGCTCGTATTTGAATTTCCAGTATCCAGCAAAAAGACCGACGGGCATCGTAACGAACGTCGCGACCAGAGCCAGTTTCCACCCGAACGCGTAGGCTATAGAAAGGGCTCCTATAACGTTGAACGCGGCCATCACGAGGGACGACATGTTGAGTCCCAAAAGCTGCTCAAGCTGCTTAGGATCGCCGGCGACACGGGCAACAAGAGTGCCGTGCGAGTTCTCGTCGTCGTCAAAGAAGGCCGTTTTCTGGTGGAGGATGGACTCGAAGTATTCCTTCTTGTAGACGGCGCTGATCTTGTGCTGCGCGTGAACGGCGATGGCGCCTTGGAAGAAGTAGCCGAAGCCGACGCCCACGGCGAGTGCAACCCACATGAGTGACCAAAACCGGCCTTCTGAGCGGACCTTGTTGATGTCGGCATAGGTAAATACTTGGAAGACGTGGGCGAACAGCCAGGCCATCAGCGGAGTGCTGGCGGCGGAACAGGCTGCGAAGAAGGCGATGGCCACGTAGACCCAGCGGTTTTTCTGTTCTGCGAGGAGCCGGAAGAAGCTGTAAAAGACGTTTGGCTCTTTATAAGGAGTCAAGGGCAACTCTTCACTGGCGTCTGGGGCGTTGGCACTCTTCGTTTTTGCCACGGCCGCTCCTTGGTCTGAAGTGCAATCTTCTCTACTGATCACATCGTCAGCCTGGGTGGGTTGGCCAAGTGACAACTTCTGCGCGTGGACGAGACCATGGTATGCCCCTAATTCGTTCCGGAGGAGACTGTCGTGTGTACCGGACTCGACGACCCGTCCTTTGCGCAGGACCACAATCCTGTCAGCCTTCTTGATGGTCGACAGACGGTGGGCAATGGTGATTGTGGTTCTGTCCTTGGCAACCCGGTCAAGGGCGGCCTGCACGATCTTCTCGCCACGAACATCGATGGCGCTGGTGGCTTCATCGAGGATTATGATCTTGGGCTTTCTGACAATGCTCCTGGCGATCGCAATGCGCTGGCGCTGGCCTCCGGAGAGCTTGGCGCCGCCGTCGCCGACGGCGGTGTCGTAACCGTCTGGCAGGCGGTCGATAAATTCGTCGGCAAACGCTTCGTGGCATGCCTCCTTGACGAGCTGTCGCTTCTCCTCGTCAGAGGAATTTTCAAATGCGGATCCGATCAAGCCGTAAGCGACATTTTGGAAGATTGTGTCGTTGAACAAGAACGGTTCTTGCTGAACAAGCCCTATCTGAGAGCGCCACCACTTGAGGTCAACGTCTGCAAGCGATATTCCGCCCGTTGTGATGCTTCCTGAGAGTGGGACGATGGGTTGGTTCTCCTCAGCGCCGGTGCCTTGTTGATAGCCGACAAGTTCTATCATATCTCCTTGTTTCTTCTTCCTGCCCTCCTTGTCGCTTTTCTTCTTCTTCTTGATCTTGTCGTCTTCGGTTCCGTTGATCTTCTCTGCCCCAATCGTCTTCTCAATGATGTGCTGCTCCCGCAGGTCGTACCACCTCTCGATAAGACCGACGACCGTACTTTTACCGGAACCTGAGGGGCCAACAATTGCTGTGTTCTTGCCCGCCTGAATGGTAAGGTTCAGGCCGTCCAAGATTCTGACGTGTGGCCGACTGGGATACGCAAATGTGACGTCCTTGAAGACGATGTCATTGGTCGCAACGACATCTGGCTCCCTCAGA